GTCTCTGACGCCCGCCCACAGATGGGGCGCCGGGGTGAGTGTGCCCCGCAATTCAAACAAACCGTGGCGGAGTCTTGCCCCGCCACCCAAAGGCTGCGGGCAACGTGCGGGCTGTCTGCTCTGCCAGTGGCCAAGAGGGGTGCCGTTCCCCATATGGGCAACAAGTGCGGAACTGCCGGTGACCACGCATGGGCCCTGAGCCCGCTCCTTACAGTGCCGTGACCCAGCCCCTTGGGTGGCCGGTGCCCAGCTGCAGGACGACCGCCGGCGGCCGCAGATGAACAGAAACCTCCAGCGGCTCTGATGGCCGTGGCCACAGGATGCCGGGCTGTTGCTAGAGCTTGTTGTCTTGAAGTACAACGGCCCTTGCTCCTAGTATTTATACATTACATTATATAAATGTGCAATGTTTTAATTACAGCTGAAGGTGGGCGGCCGTGTTTGTCTGAAGCAACGGAACAAAGTTAGAGTCCAGTGGGGGCACCTTTAAGAGCAACAAAGGTTTATTCAAGGTGTGAGCTTTCATTGGGCATGCACACGGGGCACACACGAAAGCTCACACCCTTGAACAAAACTTCGTCGCTCTTAAAGGTGCCACTGAACCCTAACTTTAATTACAGCCCATAAGCCGTCTTGAATGTAGAGGAGAGGTCTGAATGTCTTAATAAATCAATTTGTTTCAGCCTGGTTGAGGACGAGTCCCAGTCTGTCACAGTGATCTGTCGAGATTTCAGCACCCTCTTGCAGTCTCAAAATACCAATTCTTCTTTTGAATGAAAACTTCCGAAAAAACACCAAGAAGTCCGGGGAGGAGCGCGACCGGGGCTTGGGGGAGGAGCCGGTGATATGCTGACCCTGGGGGGCCCAGTTCCCCACCCTCCCCCTTGCTCTGCCAGTCTGAATGGGTCCGGTTGCCAGCTTGGCTGGACAAATTTGGGATTCTGATCAGAGTGCCATCTTTGTATCCCACTGTTGGAACGTAAGGGAAGAGAAGTTAATTAGAAAAACAAAGGTCTTTTCTTTTTTTAAAAAAAATCGTTTTGTACTCTAAAGCGGGGCTTGTTCTCCTTTCGAAAAGAAGAGAGGGAACTTTGCTGGGAACTTTGGCACGCCCAGAACCTCACGTCGAAGTAGCCGCTTGCCAGAGAAGGGCAAAGTACGTGCTCAAAGGCAAAGTCTAAGACTCTTGGAAAGATAAGGCGCATTGACTAAGCAAGTCTTCCAGTAACCCGATTCAAGCCTGCTCAGGGGAAATTTCCTTAGGATTTCCTTAGGATTGTGCTGCCAGGTGCTTTTCTGCTTAAGCTTTTTTAAAACGTGATCCCCTTGGGGACCTTCCCCAATCAGACAAATTTTGCAGTGTTTGTGTCTCTTTATTGAGGATCATACCAGTAGTTGGTGTAATTACGTGTTTAGTTAGAAGCTCTGCAGCGACCTGGATAGGCAGTGTGTTGTACTCGCTACGGTGTTAAAATCTGGCAGGGGGTCGCTGGGTTCAAATTCACATACGGCCCCGAATCTAACTGTGGGCTGTCTCTCAGCATAGCCTACTGCAGGGGTTCCCAACCTTTTTGAGCTTGCGGGCACCACTGGGGCTCTGGCACAACATTGGGGAGGGGAGCCACAAAATGGCTGCCGGATGAGAGGGAAGTCAGATGGAAGTCAGCCACAAAATGGCTGCCGGATGAGAGGGAAGTCAGATGGAAGTCAGCCACAAAATGGCTGCTGCATGAGAGGGAAGTCAGATGGAAGTCAGCCACAAAATGGCTGCCGCATGAGAGGGAAGTCAGATGGAAGTCAGCCACAAAATGGCTGCCGCATGAGAGGGAAGTCAGATGGAAGTCAGCCACAAAATGGCTGCCGCATGAGAGGGTAGGCAGATGGAAGTCAGCCACAAAATGGCTGCTGCATGAGAGGGAAGTCAGATGGAAGTCAGCCACAAAATGGCTGCTGCATGAGAGGGAAGTCAGATGGAAGTCAGCCACAAAATGGCTGCCGCATGAGAGGGAGGTCAGATGGAAGTCAGCCACAAAATGGCTGCCGCAGGTGGCCTTCAGTCACACAGTGAAGTTCTTCATGCTGAGGTGGCGGCCGCCGCCACAGCAGTGCTTTCAAAAATCTGCAAAGCCGATCAGATATCCAGTGACCAATCAGAAGCCTTGCTGGGGAAAGCCTCAACTGGCCCCGCCCACTTTCTAAAAGCACTCGGTGGGCGCCAGGACAGGTGCCCATGGGGACTCTGTTGGGGACCGCTGGCCTACTGCATGGAGGCAGAGGATTCATGCTCTGAGGACGGAGCAGGCTCCAGCCCCTTGAGTTCAGTTGTGCGGAAGAAGAGCAGGGCGCAGGTGAGGGCAAATAAAGAACTGAGAGATCCGCCCAGGGATAGCTGCACGCTGACCCCTTGCCAGAGCGCGGCTTCTGAGGATCTTGACTTGGTGGCTGCTTGACATTGGGGGGGGGGGGTTACGTCCAATGTTCCCTCTAAGCTGAGTTAGTGTGAGCTAGCTCACGGTTTTTGAGTCTCTGACTCACACATTTTTGTTTTGAGTCTCTGGCTCACAACTTTAATGCCGGTAGCTCACAAAGTAGAATTTTTGCTCACAAGACTCAACAACTTAGAGGGAACATTGGTTACGTCTTTTCGGAGGAGCCCTGTCTGCAGAAAGTCCAAGGCCCTGATACCAGGGACAGCGTTCCCTCTAAGCTGAGTTAGTGTGAGCTAGCTCACAGGTTTGTAGCCTCTGGCTCACACATCCCTCCCACGTTCCCTACCACGTTCGGCTCACTCAGCTCAGGAAGGAGGGCTCCAGAGCAAACTAATGTATGCAGTAGCCAAATAGCCCGCTCAGAATTTTAGTGCCAGTAGCTCACAAAGTTGAATTTTGCCTCACAAGACTCCACAGCTTAGAGGGGGCGTTGAGGGACACAGTTTCCACCCTCATGTAGCTCTCCCCTTGCAAGGAACGCCTTCCCTTTCCCCAAAAGTATAACCTCGTTGCTACAGCCCAGCAAGGGAGATTGTCATCTGCCCACGGAAGTCACCTGGCCGCGATGCGCCGGGAGTCAGTGCAGATGTGCATCTGGGCGGGATCCAAATTGCCTCACGATGCTCATCTAGATCTCGTTGAACTGGGTGGATCTTCTGAGTCAGGCAGGGGTGGGGTGTCCTGCGGAGGGCCGCCGGATGTGGCGAGTGATCGGAGCCGGATTGGGACCCCTGTGTTCAGAGCACTGCCTTTCTGGCGGAAATCTGTGGCGGGTTGCGTCATGCCATCTTCTGGGCGAGGAACGGGTCACTGGGAGTTTTTTGGGGGGGAGGGACTTGTGAATTTCCTGCATTGTGCCTCGGGTTGGACTAGATGACCTTCGTGGTACCCTCCAACGCTGTGATACAATGATTCTGTGGCACCACCTGGGCTTTCCCCCCCCCCCTGGGTTCTTCTGAAAGGGAAGGAGAAAGTTGGAGAGAGAGAAGGAGAAGGATGCCCAGAAGCGGCGGGGAAACGGTGGCTTGTTAGAAGGAATGAGGGTCTCCCCTCACCTGCACGAGAGGTTCCACCTGTGCTGCTTTTCAAAGGACAGGATTGGCCTCTGCCTTCCTCCCCGCCTTTTGTACATGGTCACCCCCCTGAAGGGAAAAGGAGGGAAACTCGGGGTCTGTAGTGAAATGTTGGAGGTGGGTCCCGTGGTCTGAAGAGGCTGAGGGTGAATGCTCTGAGAGCCATAGAGCTGAAAGGGGGCAGAGAGGCCGTCTGGTCCAGCCCCCCCCTGCTCAATACGGGATCAGCCTAGACTGAGCCTCCCTGACCAGTGTTAATCTGGCTGCTGCTTCCAGCCTTGGTGGCTGCCCAGTGCCTGGTTCGGGTTGCTCTGGGACAATGCTTCCCTCTAAGCTGTGGAGTCTTGCGAGCAAAAATTCTGCTTTGTGAGCAACTGGCCTTAAAGTTGTGAGCGAGAGATTTGGCTGCTGCAGAGATTAGTTTGCTCTGGAGCCCGCCTTCCTGAGCCGAGACAAAAAGGTGTGAGCCGGAGGCTAAAAAACTGTGAGCCAGCTCACACTCACTCAGCTTAGAGGGAACACTGCGAGTCTGGGAGCTTCGGGAGAGTGGAACGAGACATTTTACCATAGAGATCTGGGGGGGGGGACTGCCAGAGTGGCCCAGCGATGCGTGATGTTGCTTCCGGTTGCATGACCAGAAATGATGTTGTGATGTTAAAACTTGACACACACACACACCAATACCCACTGACCTTTTGGCTTCCACTGATAATGACTTCATGAAGGGGGCAGCACATCTATGGGTAGAATAATGGAATCATCGGGTTGGAAGGGGCCATCGAGTCCCCCCCCCCCCCCCCCCCCAGCCTAGAGCATCCCTGACCAGTGTTTGTCCCTCCGTTGCTTAAAGACTGCCCGGGAGGGGGAGCTCACCTCCTCACGAGGCAGCTGATTCCACTGTTGCACAACTCTTTCTGCCAAATCCCCCCCCCTGATATTCCCGCCTGCTGCCGAAAGGAACAGCTCCCTGCCCTCCCCTAAGCGGCAGCCCTTCAGGTACTTCAAGAGAGCCATCATGTGTGTGTGACTGTGTGTCCCCCCTTTCCCTCACTGTCCAGAGCGGACCGTTTTTGCACAGGCTCCGTCGACCTGAACGGAGGCCGTCCGGAAGCAGTGGGTGGGGGAAGTCTCCCGTGCCGCCCAGCCAGGGGCCTCCTCCTGTCCCCGGAGCCTGGCGCAAGTTCCCACGTCCCTTGAAAACACTGTTTGCCCTCCCTGGCTTTTCCCCGGCAGGTGCCCGGCCAGAGAAGCTGGGAAGTAGGTCAAGGCCCGTCCCGCCTCTTTTGGTTTTGGAAACTGCCCAACTCTCTTGGCTCCGTTTCAGTTTGGGGGGGGGCACTCCCTCTCTGACAGGCCCGATAACGGCTGATGAAGGGAGCCGGGCATGCTGGGAGCAGTCCAGGAGGCTATAAAGTGGCCGTGTTCCCTCCTGGCCCCGAGAAGGCCGCCAGCCATGCAGTGGGCATCTTGTGTCTTTCTCTCTCTGCTTCCTTTCTGTTCTGCCTTCCCCACAGAGGCAGACGAGCCATGCGCCAGCACATGTGGCACAGACAAGGTAGGCTGATGTGAGTGGTGGGATTGGGGAGAGTGTGCCAAGCCTGGGAGGGCTGCTGCTGGGGCCTGGGGCCCTCCGAGCTGTGAGAAATTGTGTATAAATGGGGTGTCGTTAAGAGTGTTGGACTCTTACCTGGAAGACCCGGGTTTGAATCCCAACTCGTGCCCTGGAAGCTTGCTGGGTGACCCTGGACCAGTCGCACCCTCTCAGCCTAGCTTCGCAGGGTTGTTGTTAGGATAAAATGGAGGAGAGGAGAAATGACGTAAGCCACTTTGGGCCCTCAAAAGGCGAGGTAGAAGTGAATTAAATCAATAAGTTTTGATGTAGAATTTAGTTGATACCTGATTATCTTCAGTTAAAATGCATGGGATTTAGTGGTGCTCCGGTTTGACTGGGTGATATTTCTGTACTTTTATATGTCTGGAAACCTTTGGGAAATTGGGCAGGATGCAAACTGAGACTAAAACATATTCTGGTTTTTTTGTTAGTTGATGCTCCAAGTTAGGCAGTGTTTCATTTGTATTTCTTCTGAAGAAAATAACATCTGATCTGGCTAAATGTCCAATCTTTTGCTGTGTGCTTTGCTTTCGTATGGGGGGGAGGGCTAAAATGAGGCCTCACAAGAGGTTCCCTGCTTCTTTTGTCTGCATTTGTTGTGTTGTTGTTGGTTTTTTTAAAAAAACAAAAAAAAACAAATACGGTCCAGTCAAAAAGTGCCTGGGAAGAGTTTGGTTGACCCTTTCCTCTCTGGTCTTTTTTTTTAAAAGCTCAGAATCGCTCTCCTCCGGCAGCTTTTTGTATTCCCCTTCGCACAGCCACCAAAAGTGAAACATAATACTGGGAAGGGCAGTTTATAGTTGAAGCGGCTGCAAGCACACCAACAGTGCTCCAGAGACATGCGCGCACACAATCTGAATCTTTAAAACCTGTCAAGCACATTTGCTCTCCACTAGACGATAATCAAGCTGTGACTCTAGTCCATCTTGCTTGGTATCCTGGATTGGGACCTACGCTTGCAGGCTCAGTCTCTCTTTCATACTGATCAGGGAATTGCTGAATGTTTGTAGGAAAACTTGGGCAAATCCGGATTTGTGAGTTAGGTCACCCCTCCTGTCTGATTCCATATGCAAAGTGTTTGAGGGCATGGCTGCATAAGGAACGGTTTATTTTCCAAACCAAACCTGGTCTGTCTGTCTAGCTGCTCCTGTGTTCTGCTCCTGGAGACAGGACCCCTTCCCAGGGTCAGTTGCAATTGTTTATGGAGGAGTGTTTTTAAAAGCAATGCCATTTCCTTTAGGGCCTGGTCCTGGGAGTCTATGCCACTGAGAAAGAGGAGAAGGCTGTGCAGTTGACCAAGGCAGGAGATGCTTTTGATCAAGTTGTGTCTGGAAAGCTCAAAGAACTGCTGTCAATGTAAGTACCAAAACCAGTTCCTTCCCACGTGTGAGGGTATCACAAGACATGGGAGTATCGCGAGATTAAATAGCTAAGAATACCTACTCCCTGCATGTTTTGCTGCCCCACCACCTTCGTCCTTCCTATCCTATGTCTGCGGTGCTCTCCTCCATGCCGGTCAGAAAGAGCAGTGGGGGTGGGCTTTTCAGCCCCCCCCCCAAGTGATCTCTGTTGCAGGCTTAGCTCTTTCTGGGGTTTTCTGTATTCTCATTTTTATTGCTCATGTGCTCCTGTTGCTTCGGAGGGAGATTCTGTTTTGGGTGTGTTTTGCTCCCTGTAGTGTTCAATTTGATAGTGCAGTGTTTTATGTCTGGCATAAAAACCTGGAGTTTAAATCCGCAGGGAGAAATGCCAGATATTAACTGGCGTAGAATTGAATTGACCACTAGAGGGAGCAAAACACATGCAGCACAGAACCCCCTCCCCCAAAGAGAAAAGAACTTACAAGCCAGAAAAATGAGAATGCAGAACAGCCCTTTCTTTCCCCGGGTGCTTTCCTGGAGGACAAGAGCCGCCAAACAGATGTCTCTGGATGGATATGGAGAGCTGTCTAGCCTAGGGGGTGAGGAGTAGCAGATGCTCCGCTCCCCCGGGATCAACAACAGCAAGTCCCACGGCTGGCAAATTATATGTGTGCAGCATCCTCTGCTATGGGAACTGCCTGATGGTTCTCAGCAGAATTGCCCTGTGCGTTCTGCCATTCCTGAGAGAGTCGTGGGTGGAAGGGACAGTATGTAGATGTGGACTTCAGAGCTAAAGGTAGAGGCTGCCAGCATTCCCACACTGCAGGTGTAGCCACCGGGGCTTTTATGTGGGTGTGGAAAGCGGTTCCTTCTAAAGTTCCCACCGTTCCAGGCCCCGCTCTTCTGGCTCGACCAGCAGCTTCCTTTGACGAGGTTAAGAAGTGATGATGGATCTGTGGTGCTCCCGCAGGGTTCATTGTCTGATTTCTGTCAAGGAGGCTTGTGCTTCAGTCACAGGAGCAGGCCGGTCCATCTTTTCCCCTGGTTAACTGGCAACTCTGCATGTGCGTTCAAGGACTCACAAACATGCTTGTGTTCCAGCTCGGGGCCTCCACTGAAGAAAGGGAAGACACGCATCTTTCATGCCTTGCATCAGGTATGGGGTTTATCTTTGGTATGTTGCCCATTCCCCTGCCCCCCCCACCCCAGCAAGCTGAGCTTTCACATTATCGCTTCCTGAAGAAGTGAAGCAGTGACTCACGAAAGCTCCTCCTCGGCCACAAATTTTGTTAGTCTTTAAGATGCTCCTGGACTCTGGCTCTTTTCTACTGCTATTTCTTTTGTAATCATATTTAGGTTTGTGGCGCTGCATTAATACCAAAGATGGAAAAGTACCCGTTTCCTTTGCACGCCCCCCTCCGGAACTGACAGAATTCAGCTTCTTAAGGCCAGACTAGATGTCACCTGCCACCAAAGGGAATTAGATAAGCATCTGGAGCAGAGATAGGGACTCTGGGGCAAGGGATGCTCCGTATTCTTGGTGCCTGGGGGGGGGGGTCAACAGTGGGAGTGCTTCTAGTGTCCTGGCCCCACTGCTGGACCTCCTGATGGCACCTGGTGTTTTTGGCCACTGTGTGACAGAGTGTTGGACTGGATGGGCCATTGGCCTGATCCAACACTGGCGTCTCTTATGTTCTTAAATCCCTATAAAGGGCGTGGGAGCGGTTCATCTGAAGCAGTTGTTCCCAGCCTTTTTGGTGCGGTCACCCACAAGTCCAAGTTTACTTAGTATGGTTGACTCATCCAGGGTTTTTGGGTGCCCCAGCACGCATCTAGTTCAGCATTCCATTTCCTGCAGTTGCCTACCAGACGTTTTTGAGAAAACAAGTAGCATCGCAGAACAAGGGGGCAGCTGCCCCCACGACGAACCCACAGCGCGTAACATTCCGGCATTTGCATATGGAGGTCAAGATTTCAGCCTCTGTAGCCCCTCTCCATGGGGTTTTCTTGGCAAAAATACTGGAGTGGATTGCCATTTCCTTCTCCAGGGGATCACGCTTGGTCTGAGTTCTCCGCTGTGGCCTGTCCATCTTGGGTGGCCCTCCACGGTGTAGCCCACAGCTTCATCGAACCACGTAAGCCCCCTCGCCATGACAAGGCAGTGATCCATGAGGGGGATTCACTCTCACTGGAGAAGACCCTGATGCTGGGAAAGATTGAATGTCAAAGAAGATGGGGACGGCAAAGGATGAGATGGTTAGACAGTGTCATAGATGCAACGAACATGAAGCTGAGCAAACTCCAGAGGACGGCAGAAGACAGGAGGGCCTGGCGAGATCTTGTCCATGGGGTCGCGAAGAGTCGGACTCGACTGTGCGACTGAACAACAACAAAGCCCCTCTCCATCCTCCCCTCTAATCCCCTCCTACGATTCCAAGAAATTCACTCTAGTAACCATCAGGACAGTTTTTTTAAAGAAGTTTTATTAGTTTGATAAAGAAAGGGGGAAAGGGGAAAAAAGGGGAGAGAAGAAAATGAACAGAAATATGCAAAATTCCAATTTAGCAATTTGCATGTATATCTTCTCATTGCAATTTCACAGCTGTTTCATCTATCATTCTCATTACTCTTCCCTAACTCTTATTCTCTCAGTACTTGAGGTTTTTTAACCATCCTCCCCTCTAATCCCCCCCGGAGAGTCCAAGGAACTCACTCTAGTAACCATCAGGACAGTGTCCACTTGCTCGGTGTGTACATGCAGTGAAGAAAAAACAGCAGCCGATGCATGATGTGGAAGAAACGGTTTCCAGGGGCCAGATCTTGCTTTACGAAATACAGAAGGGAAAGGGGCAGCCATGAGGTGGACTGGCCTGCGACCCACTTTCAGAGGCTTTGCGACCTACAGGTTGGGAAACGCTGATCTGAAGCACCAGGTGGGTGGGCAGGAGGGAGGCAAGCAACATCCCCTTAGCCGGGCTGCCTGAGCCCAGAAGTCGCTTTCCTCGGGAGAAAGACAACTACAGAAAAGCCGCTTGCAATGTTCCCTCTAAGCTGTGGGGTCTTGTGAGCAAATATTCTACTTTGTGAGCTGCTGGCATTAAAGTGGTGAGCAAGAAATATGGCTACTGCTTCAATGAGTTAGCTCTGGAGCCATCCCTTCCTGAGCAAAGACAGAAATGTGTGAGCCGGAGGCTAAAAAACTGTGAGCTAGCTCACACTAACTCAGCTTAGAGGGAACAGTGTCTGGAGCTACCCTTCCTGAGCGAAGACAAAAATGGGTGAGCCAGAGGCTAAAAAACTGTGAGCTAGCTCACACTAACTCAGCTTAGAGGGAACAGTGTCTGGAGCTACCCTTCCTGAGCGAAGACAAAAATGGGTGAGCCAGAGGCTAAAAAACTGTGAGCTAGCTCACACTAACTCAGCTTAGAGGGAACAGTGTCTGGAGCTACCCTTCCTGAGCGAAGACAAAAATGGGTGAGCCAGAGGCTAAAAAACTGTGAGCTAGCTCACACTAACTCAGCTTAGAGGGAACAGTGTCTGGAGCTACCCTTCCTGAGCGAAGACAAAAATGGGTGAGCCAGAGGCTAAAAAACTGTGAGCTAGCTCACACTAACTCAGCTTAGAGGGAACAGTGTCTGGAGCTACCCTTCCTGAGCGAAGACAAAAATGGGTGAGCCAGAGGCTAAAAAACTGTGAGCTAGCTCACACTAACTCAGCTTAGAGGGAACAGTGTCTGGAGCTACCCTTCCTGAGCGAAGACAAAAATGGGTGAGCCAGAGGCTAAAAAACTGTGAGCTAGCTCACACTAACTCAGCTTAGAGGGAACAGTGTCTGGAGCTACCCTTCCTGAGCGAAGACAAAAATGGGTGAGCCAGAGGCTAAAAAACTGTGAGCTAGCTCACACTAACTCAGCTTAGAGGGAACAGTGTCTGGAGCTACCCTTCCTGAGCGAAGACAAAAATGGGTGAGCCAGAGGCTAAAAAACTGTGAGCTAGCTCACACTAACTCAGCTTAGAGGGAACAGTGTCTGGAGCTACCCTTCCTGAGCGAAGACAAAAATGGGTGAGCCAGAGGCTAAAAAACTGTGAGCTAGCTCACACTAACTCAGCTTAGAGGGAACAGTGTCTGGAGCTACCCTTCCTGAGCGAAGACAAAAATGGGTGAGCCAGAGGCTAAAAAACTGTGAGCTAGCTCACACTAACTCAGCTTAGAGGGAACAGTGTCTGGAGCTACCCTTCCTGAGCGAAGACAAAAATGGGTGAGCCAGAGGCTAAAAAACTGTGAGCTAGCTCACACTAACTCAGCTTAGAGGGAACAGTGTCTGGAGCTACCCTTCCTGAGCGAAGACAAAAATGGGTGAGCCAGAGGCTAAAAAACTGTGAGCTAGCTCACACTAACTCATCTTAGAGGGAACCCTGGCGGGGAGTGCAGCCGAGAGGCAAGGTGAAACTCCCCCTTCCCTTCCCCTGGCTTTACGATTCAGTTTACACCGTCAGCCCCCCCCCCCATAGGGGGCCAGCAGGGTTTGGCTGCCGCCCCCTTTCCTTATGCCCTTGGGCCGCTTCAACTATAGGGAAGGCTTCAGCCCTAGCAAAAATGCTTTGAGAGGGGGGAAACTGCAAACTAGGCAGGTTTGCGATAGGGAGGGAAGGCAATCGGTTAGTGCTGAGTGAGCAAGATAAACGCAGGGTACTGACTCACGTTGGGAGGATCTGAGACCGAAATCAGGCCATGTGAGGCAAGAGCTTCGGGCTGCCTCAGCACATTTCTGGGTGTCCCGCTGTTGTTTGTGCCCCAGCAGTCACGAATAACTGGATTGTCTTGTTGACACAGGGAAATCCAGTTGCAAAGGACGGCTGTAGGGCACTCTCCAAGGCTGTGGGAATGGGGATGAAAGGATCCAACGCGAGACCTTTTAGATCCTCTCTCCTTTCTGCTGGGGTGGTATTCCGCCGCCACTTGCGAGGTGAAGAAGCTTGTGCTTAAGGCATCTTCTTTGAAATCGGCCTGTTCAGAAGGACTTTCTTGAGATCTCCAGGGGCGTTTACATGGTTCCTCCTCTCCATGTATCTCGGGTGACTGGACCTGTGCCATTTTTGCCAGGTCTCATGCATCTTTTTTTCCCAAACGGTGGAAAGATGATAGAGAAGTATCATTTTTGGTTGAGGTTGGAATTGTCTCCGTCTATTAAAAAATATTCTTCATAATTCCCCTTTTTTAATTAAAGTGTATGGCTGAATATTTTGTTTTCTTTCCTGTAGAACTTCTCCAGCGTGGTCATTGTTGGTTTAGGGAAGAAGGGAGCAGGAGTGAATGAGCAAGAGAACTGGAATGAAGACAAGGAGAATATCAGGGCAGCGATTGCAGGTTAAATGTCAATCTTTACTCGTCTGTTGTTACGGAATGTGTTAACAGCCCAATCCCAAACCGAGTTTTACCCTTCTAAGCCCACTGAGTCATCTGAAGGGGTGTGCAGGCACACAAAAGCTTATACCCGGAAAGCCTTAAACTTTGTTGGTCCTAAAGGTGCTGCCTCACCTGAATTTACCTGTTTACAACTGTTCTGTAAACCGGTGCTTCAGTCTTTCCCTTGGAGATGAGTTATAGATTCCCCTGATCATTCTTAAACTTTTCAAAACAATGAAAAATGAACTATTAAGTGTTCAAATGGAGTACCCTTCTCACATATGAAGAAGAAGAGATTGGATTTATACCCCGCCCTTCACTACCCGAAGGAGTCTCAGAGTGGCTTACAAACTCCTTCCCCTTCCCCTTCCCCTCCCCACAACAGACACCCTGTGCGGTAGGCAGGGCTGAGAGAGCTCTTGACAGAAACTGCTCTTTTTCAAGGACAGCTCTTATCAGAACTACGGCTTTCCCAAGGTCATCCAGCACCTGCAAGGGGAGGAGTGGGGAATCAAACCCGGTTCTCCCAGATTAGAGTCCGTGCTCCTAACCACTACACCAAACTGGCTCTCTGTGTACATGAATATGTAGGTACTTAAGGGCATGAGGCATGATCACAGCACAGCTCTGAATCCAAGCATTTTGTCTCTGGCCTATTTCTTTGATGATATCACTCTCTAAAAAAAATAACCAAAAAGAGACTACCTTCTAAGACTGTACTTTTTTCTTGCCTCTTGGCTTATGAGCCAGTGTGGTGGTGTGTGGTAGTTAACTAGGATCCAGGAGGCCCAGGTTTGAGTCCCCCCCCCTCTGTCACAGAAGTCTGGGCTGGTCCCACACTCAGCCTCGACTCCCTCACAGAGTTGTTGTAAGGGTAAAGTGGACGTGAATGGTGCTAGGCCTCATTGGGGTCTCCACTGGGAGAAAGGTAGGACAGAAATGGAGTCAGTCAATAAGGAAATTAGATGCTTTTAAATCACGGAACCTCTGCAGAACTGGCTCCCTTTGACTATCCTGCTTAAAGCAGCGAGAGGGGCAAAGATGATGATAATAATAATAATAATCTTTCAATTTATTGATCGCTCAATCCTGCAGAGCTTGCTGGCACTGAGCGATTTACAGTTACTCATTTTTCACGAGGGACTAACAATGTTTTGTGGGGTAAGGGAGGACAAAATATATACATCTTAAATTGCACACATTCACAGCTGACGAGGGTTTCGTTCAGATGCAGATGAGACATGATCCGGAACGGCATTTTTCCTTGGCCGAGTTCGATGGCATCTGCTTTTCTCCAGACTCCTTGAGTTGTAGCGCCACACTGCCATTGCCTGACCGGACGGCCCATTACAGGCTTTTCTCCACGCCGAGGAGATCTCTCTAGGCTTTCCATCATGCGAGCTGGACTTCCGTTTGCTGGCTAACACCGCTCCACCCCACGAGGGGGGGGGATTCAGTGTGCTCACTCTCTCTAAGGCTTGGTACCAATTTTATCTACTCGCCGAAGCTTTCGAACCGCTGGGTAGACGGCGAGCTGGGGACAAGGCTGGCAGCTCACACCAGCGCGGGGCTAGAACTGACAGCAAGCCTGTTCAGCTCAGATGTTACTATTCTAACCAGAGGATAAATCCTCTGTGCCACCGCTCCCCTATATAAGATGGGAGTCCCATGGGGTCTAAACGTCTGGTATTCAGTTGAAAGCTGCTGTGAGGCTGTGATGTGGCCGTCAGCCTGTCCTGGAGTCTCTGTGCCCGCAGGGCCTGCGTCAGGCAGCTGGAGTGGCCACTAGTTCAGGTGTTCATCGGAAGCCCCAGCAAGTTTGCGACTTGGCTGATACCATAGGAAATCTTCCTTTTGAGAGCTGCATCATTTAAAGCGTTGGGGCTGGGCCGTACCAACTTTCCTGCTGGCGAAAAACGAGAGGAGGGGCTCCCCTTTGACACTCCCCCCCCCCCATGAAGGCTCTGCCTAGGATCACGAGCCCTGAATGGACAAAAGCTATGTGGGACAGGAGCGGTTGAGTCCCAGAGCTGGAAAGGGCCACACGGGCCATCGAGTCCAGCCCCCCCCCTCCCCCCCTCAGTGCAGGATCAGCATCCCTGACAAGTGTCCGCCCAGCTGCTGCATGGAGACTGCTGGTGAGGGTGGGAAGTTCACCACCTCCCCGGGCTGCCAGTTTGGTGTAGTTGTTAAGTGCGGTGACTCTAATCTGGGAGAACCGGGTTTGATTCCCCACTCCTCCACTTGCACCTGCTGGATGATCCTGGGCAAGCCGTAGTCCTGATAAGAGCTGACCTTGAAAAAGAGCCGTTTCTCTCAGAGCTCTCTCAGCCCCGCCTACCTCACAGGGTGTCTGTTGCGGGGAGGGGAAGGGAAAGGAGTTTGTAAACCACTCAGAGACTCCTTTGGGTAGTGAAGGGTGGGGTATAAATCCAATGAGAGCCAGTTTGGTGTAGTGGTTATGTGCGTGGACTCTAATCTGGGAGAACCGGGTTTGATTCCCCACTCCTCCACTTGCACCTGCTGGATGACCTTGGGCAAGCCATAGTCCTGACAAGAGCTGTCCTTGAAAAAGGGCCGTTTCTGTCAAGAGCTCTCTCAGCCCCACTGACCTCACAGGGTGTCTGTTGGGAGGGGGGAGAGAAAGGAGTCTGTAAGCCGCTCTGAGACTCCCTTGGGTAGTGAAGGGCGGGGTATAAATCCAGTCTCCTCTTCTTCTTCTTAGTCCAGGATTAGTGAAGAAAAGATACAGTGTTCTTCCTTTTAGAATGGTGTGCCCACAGGAACAGCTCCCGGCCCTCCTCTAGGTGACACAGCCCTTCAGATACTTCAAGAGAGCAGAGTCATGTGTTTCCCCCCCCCCCCTCGCGCCTCCTCTTCTCCAGACTGAACGACAGCAGTCAAGAGGGGAGTTGGATGAGACTGAGTGAGGGATTTGGTGAAGTCCAGCCCCATCTAGTTCTCTTATAGCTGAGGCATCAAATAGTGTCAGGGTTATGCCAGTTAACAAAGTTGCCTCACGAATCAAACTGATAACAAGAAAATGTACCCAGGTGACATTCTGAGCGTGCTCATTAAGCATTAGTTTTATAGCATCATTATTAAGATTGTGGCTGTACCTTGGCCAGTTAAAACAGCAGTTATCCCTCTTCTGTGCGGGACGGCTGGGCAGAGCCCTTTGCCGCTCAGGCAGAGTCGCCGGCAGGCCGAAAGCTGCAAGACAAAATGCATCCAAAGTGCACCAATGGATCACGGATTAATAAATACCTTCTCTCTCCTGGAGGTGTGCTGTTGCCCGTTTGCCCTGACCTGGGCGGCCCAGGCTAGCCCACACAGAATCATAGAGTTGGGAGGGACCCCCCCCCCAGGGCCATCTAGTCCAACCCCCTGCACAGTGCAGGAAATTCACAAATACCTCCACCCCCGCATGCCCCCAGTGACCCCTGTTCCGCACCCAGAAGATGAACAAAAAACCCAACAAACCAGAATCTCCAGCCAAACTGGCCCAGAGAAAACTTGCTTCCTGACCCCAAAGTGGCGACTGGCCTTTCCCTAGGCGTGTCAGAAAGGGCCACAAGAACTAAGTGCTGAGGCAACCCCTCCCCAAACCCCTCCCTCCCAGATACCCAGGTATTTCTCGACCCCTACCTGTAACCCACGAGCACAGGTCCTAAGCGGAGTCACAGCCTGTGAAGTTCAGGAACTTAGAAGGATTCAACTGTTCAGGATTGCACTCACGACTTCACCAAGTTCTGACTTGGGGCAGGAGGTTCTTGGACTGTTGAGTTCTAGGGGACCCAGGTGACCAAATATAAATCTGTCTTGTTCCCCAGCCGGATGCCGGCAGGTTCAGGACCTGGAGTTCCCTTACGTGGAAGTGGACCCCTGTGGCGATCCTCAGGCGGCGGCAGAAGGAGCCATCCTGGGGCTCTACGAATATGACGAGTTTAAGCAGAAGAAGAAGCCGGCAATTGAAGTCCAGCTACATGGAAGGTGATTAGCAGAGATGGTCAGACTTCTGCAATTCAGTAGTATCCAGATTCTGGTTGTTTGGTTTGGTGTAATAGTTAAGGGCAGCGGACTCTAATCTGGGAGAACCGGGTTTGATTCCCCACTCCTCCACACACAGCCGGCTGGGTGACCTTGGGTCAGTCCCAGTTCTCTCAGAGCTCTCTCAGCCCCACCTACCTCACAGGGTATCTGTTGTGGGGAGAGGAAGGGAAAGGAGATTGTAAACTGCTCTGAGTCTCGGAGTGAAGGGCAGGGTATAAATCCAATCTCCTCCTCCTGCTCCTCTCCCCCCCCCCCCCCCCCCCCCACGTCGTGGCGTCATAAGAAAAGTAGATAAAACGAGGTGTTCTTTTGTAGCCTGTGATCCATGGGTCAGGACCCTCCAGCGAGTGGTTAGGTTGTCAGCTGCTGTAGAACTTCCACTGAAAACTTTTTTACTTACGTTATTTGTGTGTAATCCGCCTTTCTCCCAGGGACTCGAGGCGGATTACACACAGTGAGCCAGTGCAGTCAATGGTCAGCAACCAAACGCATTAGGGTTTTAGAAGTCTGGAACAAACGGAAAGGACTGAAGCGCGGCATCAGTATCCACGTGAAGAAGAAGAAGAAGAGGAGGAGGAGAAGAGAAGAGATTGGATTTATACCCCACCCTTCACTTGGAGTCTCAGAGCGGCTTACAAACTCCTTTCCCTTCCCCTCCCCACAACAGACACCCTGTGAGGTGGGTGGGGCTGAGAGAGCTCTGACACAAACTGCTCTTTCAGGAACTGCTGTGACAGAGCTTGTGACTGACCCAAGGTCACATCAGCAGGTGCAAGTGGAGGAGTGGGGAATCAAACACGGTTCTCCCAGATTAGAGTCTTAACCACTTAACCACCACACCAAACTGGCTCTCACATGTGACACATTAAGCGGTACAGAAATGACCTAAATGGGATCTTGCTGACAGTAAGCTAAACACAGCAGTGCAGACCGCCGTCCTTCCTTATTTATCCAAGCAAGTTTGTAGAACCACGTTGAACTACGCAGCTCTAAAACCTGTGCCTTCCCTGACTGCTTGCTGGAAGGAGCGGCTGCCTGCGAACGTACATTGCGGGCGCCGGGGGGGGGGGGGGCGGCCCCCCCGCCGTCTTTCGCGTCTGAGAGAAGCAGCAGGGGCAGTAAGGCAAGACCCCTGGGCAAGGGAGAGGATTTCCTGCATACTGATGAGGGTGTTGAACCACCTTCCCTAGGAGGAAAGGCCGAACAGTGTGAGACTTTTCTGTTTCGGAAAGAGACGACTGGGGGGGGGGGGGCAGGAGGGGGGACGACATGATAGAGGTTTATGAAGTTATGCATGGGGTGGAGAGAGTTGACAGAAATGTTTCTCCCTCTCCCCATTATACTAGAACTGGAGGGCATCCAATGAAGCTGATGGGCAGTAGGTTCAGGACGGACAAAAGGAAAGACTACTTTACACAGCTAGTGAATAAAATGTGAAATTTGCTACCCAATATCATGATGGCCACACGAATAAACAGTTTGACAAGGGGATTAGATAGATTCATGGAGGCGAAGCCTATCAACTGCTACAGGCCATGGTGACTGAGGAGAACCTCCACGTTCAGAGGCACTAATCCTCTGAATCCCTGAGCCAAGAGGCAACATCAGGGGAAGGCCTCAGCCTCTCTTAAGTGTGTGGACTCTAATCTGGGAGAACTGGTTCCCCACTCCTCCACTCGCAGCTGCTGGATGACCTTGAGCAAGCCGTAGTTCGGATCAGAGCTGTTCTTGAAAAAGAGCCGTTTCTGTCAGAGCTCTCTCGGCCCCACCTACCCCACAGGGTGTCTGTTGTGGGGAGGGGAAGGGAATCCGCTCTGAGACTCCTTTGGGTAGTGAAGGGTGGGGTATAAATCCAATCTCCTCCTCCTCCTCTTCTTCTCTTCTTCGCCCTTGAACTGGTTGGTCACTGTGTGAGACAGGATGCTGGACTAGACGGACCACTGGTTTGATCCAGCTGGGCTCTTCTGATATTCTTAGTAGGGAGGCCTTGGCCTCTGCCCTGTTGCGGGCCCTCTAGGGGAACTGGTTGCCCACTGTGTGAGACACCCTATGGAGAGCAGCTGAATTCCGGTGTGTCTCTGCCAGGAGACATGGCATGACGCTGCCCTCTCTGTTTCCATGTAGTGAGGGAGCAGAGGCCTGGCAGAAAGGCCTGATCTACGCAGAGGGCCAGAACTTGGCCCGAATCCTGATGGAGGGCCCCGCCAACCACGTCACGCCGACCAGATTTGCTGCCGTCATCGGAGAGAAGCTGAAGAGCATCAGCAGCAACGTGACGGTCCATATCAGGGATCAGGCCTGGATCGAAGCCCAGGTAAGGTGGCTTCAGGAGAGCCTCTTCAGGCCGTGCAGGGGGGACAAGCGGCGCCTTTTCTCTTTGAGTCTGTGGTGGGTCGAGGCAGCCGCTGACTCTTTGGTGCCCGTCAGGAGGGGGAAAACACTGCAACGAGACGCTAACTATTTGGTAATTTTTCTAATTAATTACAATAGTATATTTTACAGTATTTAGACATAGATAGGTTTATCATGTATACAATAAAGTAGTAGAAGCTGAAACAAAGAACAAGGTGTATGCAAAAGCGCAAAGACTTTAAGCAAAAATCAACAATAGGTGCAAGTGCTCTTATTCATAGAAGAATCGTCCCGTAAGACTGGAGGCTGCTTCTGCATGGAGAAAAAGCCTCTCAACATCATCTGAGACAAATTTTGTCATTATGACTCCTTTCTCAGAAAGCATATAGGAATAAAAGTATTCATGCCCTGTCAAAGTGCACAGCATTATAATATTTCAAAAAGGATACTTCTTCGCTTTACTGTGCTCTTTATTAGTGTTTATTAGCTTTTCAATATATTTGTAAGAATTTAGCGATTTAAAGGGATTTGTTCACCAGTAGACTAGCTTTGTATAAATGATGGTGTTATTTCTATTATTTGATGTTTATGTATTTAGTAAATTGGTAGATTAAAAAAGAGATTTGCTTGGTGTAGTGGTTAAGTGTGCGGACTCTAGTCTGGGAGAACCGGGTTTGATTCCCCACTCCTCCACTCGCAGCTGCTGGATGACCTTGGGCAAGCCATAGTTCTGGCACAGCTGTTCTTGAAAAGGGGCAGTTTCTGTCAGAGCTCTCTCAGCCCCACCTACCTCACAGGGTGTCTGTTGTGGGGAGGGGAAGGGAAAGGAGTTTGTAAGCTGCTCTGAGACTCCCCTGGGTAGTGAAGGGTGGGGCATAAATCCAATCTCTTCCTCTTCTTCTATTTCTGTTATTTGATGTTTATGTATTTAGTAAATTGGTGGATTAAAAAAGAGATTTCTTTAAGCATTAAGTAGTTATTTGTTCTACGGTTATTGTTTTTTCCCATTTGGGCTCATATCCATAGTTGTTTTTTTGTATTGTGATTCCTGAGGCCCTGCATCCCACATGCAAATCTTTTTATGCGGGCTTTTCTGGTTTAGCAAAGTTTGCAGCATTTAGCTATGGCCAATCTGCTGGCAAAAGAGAAGCCAATGAGAGGACAGTGGCCAGACCTGGCCCGCCAGATTTCACTGCTCTGGTCCACACAGACCATACGAGATCTGTTGCCAGTCTGCTGCTGTTGAAATGACCTTTAGCCAGACCTGCTCTAAGAGGGAGTGGCCAGTCCAAGGTCACCCAGTGAGCTTAGTGGTTTAGTGGGGATTCGAACCCAGATCTCAGCACCACAGTACCCTTACTCTGTATTCAGGGCATTTCCCATTAAATAGCTTCAGAATGCTTGTTAGGCAAAAGGGCAGGAGACGGAGACTAGAACTCACTAGAACAGGGGTCCCCAGGCTTTGTTGAGTCTGCAGGCACCTTTGGAATTGTGACAGGGCATGGTAGCCGCAGACACAAAATGGCAGCCGCAGGAGGCGGAGCCGGCTGCAAAACGTTTGCCGTGGCTCAACTTCAGTAACACAGTGTAGATCCTCGTGGTGTGGCAGCGGCTGCACAGCCGGTCAGAAGCCTTGCTGGGCAGAAGCTCTACCTGGCCCCACCTGTTTCCTGAAAAGCCTTGGCAGTTGCCACGAAAGGGGTTGGCAGGGACTGTGGCACCCGAGGGCGCCATGTTGGGGACCCCTGGACCAGAATATTCTCAAGCCGTTTGTACTGTGCTGATCCCCTGCTTGAGAGCCAGTTTGGTGTAGTGGTGAAGTGCGCGGACTCTAATCTGGGAGAACCGGGTTTGATTCCCCACTCCTCCACTTGCACCTGCTGGATGACCTTGGGCAAGCTGTAGTTCTGACAAGAGCTGTCCTTGAAAGAGCTCTCGCAGCCCCACCTACCTTACAGGATGTCTGTTGTGGGGAGGGGAAGGGACAGGAGTTTGTAAGCCGCTCTGAGACTCCGAGTGAAGGGTGGGGTATAAATCCAATCTCTTCTTCGTCTTCTTCTTCCACTTGCAGCTGCTGGATGACCTTGGGCAAGCCATAGTTCTGTCAGAACTGTTCTCTCAAGAGCAGTCCTTGAAAGAGCTCTCTAAGCCCCACCTACCTCACAGGGTGTCTGTTGTGGAGAGGGGAAGGGAAAGGAGTTTGTAAGCCGCTCTGAGACTTCTTTGGGTAATGAAGGGTGGGGTATAAATCCAATCTCCTCCTCTTCTTCTGACGCTGGGTCTTTTGCCACGCAGTCACCCTGTCAGTCGGGAGCAGGGGGGAGGCGACTCCTTCCTTCCTTGGCACACAAGGGTGGAAGTCCAGCTCTATCCTTTCTGTCCCGTTCGCAATGGGAATGGCTGAGCTCCATCTCTGTTTCAGGGATCAGGCCTGGATCGAAGCCCAGGAGATGCGCTCCTTCCTCAGCGTCGCCAAAGGCTCTGAGGAACCTCCGGTTTTCTTAGAGATTCACTACCAGGGCAGCAGCGACACCAAGGAGCCCCCACTGGTGTTTGTTGGGAAAGGAATTACGTTTGATAGGTGAGTCTTTGGTGCCTGTGCCTGAGTGTGAGGAAACAGAATCTGAAAATTTGCCAAGAACACCCCCCCCCCCCAGTGCTCCCTCTAAGCTGCAGAGTCTTTGGATTAAAAATTCTACTTTGTGAGCTCCTGGCATTCAAATTGTGAGCGAGCCATTTGGCTGCTGCTTAAATTAGTTTGCTCTGGAGTAGAGATGTAAAATTTCTGGAAAAATCGGAAAAAATGCTACATTAGCACTTCTTTTTTCTTTTCCAGATTGAAAGTCATTCTGTTACTTTAGGAACATAAAATATGACTAAGGACATTTTTACTTGGCATGCAATTATCACAACTAGTATATTAAAAATATAGTGTATCCAAACAATTATTACAAACAGAATACCCAGCCACATGCAAAAACAAAATTGAAACCTTTTTCTTTTCTTGTGACAATAGCACTTCCTAAAGGAAGAATTGCATCTTGTTCTTGCATTGGAGAGTTCAGTTTGTAACCTAGGACTTGCTTGTCCTCAGTGCACAGAAATTAGATCAATCTGATACCATACGTATTTTTTAGAAATTATTTGGAAAATATTTGAACACCTTGTCTTAAAATATGTTATTCATCATGTTAAAATAAAACATTCCATAATCATTTTTTTCCCCTTTTCTCTTCTTTTTTCAATTTTTCCAATTTTTTGGGAAAAAAAACAAAAAAGGCTTTAGGGAAAAAAAGGGGGGGGAACGTTTCCCCCCCAATTTTTTCCGTTTTTTTCCCGGGCCTTCACATCTCTTCTCTGGAGCCATCCTTCCTGAGCCAAGACAAAAATAAGTGAGCCGAAGGCTAAAAAACTGTGAGCTAGCTCACACTAACTCAGCTTAGAGGGAACACTGGCCCCCTTATATCAGGTGCCTCAGAGAGAAGTGTCACATGATTTGTAAATCGTCTCCAGGATCTATGGTTTTGGGGTTATTTCTGTCCACCTGAGAGCAGTGGGTTCAAAAACGGGCTCCTGGGCTTATGCCAAGTGCTGCTGGGAGCTGGCACCTACTTACTGGCTTGACACAAAGGGCAGGGAAGCCAAGCCCGACACCAGGGAGGAGAGAAATGGAAGCAAAAATGGAAGCTCATAGGCGTTTGGGGGATTTGTCATGCTTTCCGCGTGTGTGCTCTTTTGGGGAGGATCAGGAGTGGCAGAAAGCAAGACGTCGGGGGCAGTGTCCCCCCTGAGCTGTGCACGTGAGTGGCCGTTCATGGACACTGCCCAGCAGCAGCCGTCTGGAGCCTCGCAGGGCCTTGCACTGCCCGTTGCCCATTTTAAGATTTTTATTTATTTATTTATTTCAATTTCTTGACTGCCCTCCCCCACTGACGCAGGGCTCAGGGCGGTTTACAACACAAATTCAATACATTGTAAAACCAAGTACATTATGAAACCGATCAGAACCATAAAAATGCCATATTAGCATTCAAACACGAATATTTAAAGACAATTTCAGGACAAGATGGCCTATCTCGCATTTGGTTTTGGGGGGAGGGGAGGGGGAGGGTGCCGGGCAGATGTGGGGAACCATTGCTGGCCTCAGCCAAAGACCTGGCGGAACACCTCTGCCTTAGGGGCCCCGTGAAGTTTTAATAAGTCAGGCAGGGCACGGATGTCATCCGGGAGAGAGTTCCACCGAGCTGGGGCCAAGGCTGAAAAGGCCATGGACCTGGCCAAGGCCAGCAGTTCTATTCTGCTCAGGGTGTGAACTGGTCGGCTCAGTAGGGGGGTGGGGGGAGATATTAGAGGGAACATTGGCCAGGGGTGTGTGCAACCACTCGAGAATCGGCATTTCCACTAAACCCTGCTGGCGCCTCTGTTTCCAGTGGCGGCATCTCCATCAAGCCGTCGTCCAACATGGACGCCATGAGGGCCGATATGGGAGGAGCGGCGACCATCTCCTCGGCCATTGTGACGGCCGCGCGGCTGAAAGTCCCCATCAACCTGATTGGTAAGTGAAAGAAGAAGAGAAGAAGAAGAAGAGATTGGATTCATACCCCGCCCTTCTCTACCCAAAGGTGTCTCAGAGGGGCTTACAAACTCCTTTCCCTCCCCCGCCCAACAACAGACACCCTGAGAGGTAGGTGGGGCTGAGAGAGCTCTTGACAGAAACGGCTCTTTTTCAAGAACAGCCCTGACAGAACTATGGTTTGCCCAAGGTCATCCAGCATCTGCAAGTGGAGGAGTGGGGAATCAAACCCGGTTCTCCCAGATTAGAGTCCCCGCACTTAACCACTACACCAAACTGGCTCTCACACCGAACTGACTCTATATTATACAGATGAGTGTAACAAAGGTGGTGGGGGGGAACAGTGCGGTTAATCTGAAGTGGTAGATCCCCTGTCGAGGTGGGGGGGGGCTGAGAGAGCTCTGACAGAAACCGCCCTTGAGAGAACAGCTCTTATCAGAACTATGGCTTGCCCAAGGTCATCCAGCAGGTGCAAGTGGAGGAGTGGGGTATCAAACCTGGTTCTCCCAGATTAGAGTCCACGCACTTATCCACTACACCAAACGGAAAGAGAAGGGGTAGCGAGGAATGTGTTTTCTTTGTGTATTTGTGTAGACTCACCCAGCCTTTCTGCCCTCACCGAGGCCACTGTGGTGGCTAACCGATTAAGAACGTACATCAGTTTTAAAAGCCATTAAAAACAAACAGAAACACCTCATTAAAAGAACTGAAACCAAAGCTCAAATACACAGACAGAAACATCGAGGCAGCCATTAAACCAGCGGGTGGGAAGGAGGGATCGCTGAGGGAACACCAAGTGAAACTATAAAGTCCTCCCCTGGCCACAGAAGTGGGGGGGGGACAGGCGAGTCTCCCTGGGGAGAGAGTTCCAGATGGGGCCAGGACCCAGAAGGCCCCTCTCCCTGCTTGCCCCCCCACCTCATCTCAGGAGGCAGTGCGCAGAGCAAGCGAGTCAAGAGACACAAGACATTGTTCGCCTCGAGCACTGCTCTGTTCCACTGACACGGGTGGCTTCCTCCACTGCCAGGTGCTTTCCTCTCGCGCCAGAGGAGAGGGCGCCACCCTGAGCAAAACAGGTCCGTGGGATCCAGGTCACGAAGCCGCCTTACGCAGAGTCGGCTCATTCATCTGCTGAGGCCTAAGTACCGTCTACTCTGACAGAGGGGCTCTCTGAGTTCTCCGGAGGCGGCGGCATCTTCCCCAACACTGTTGCCTGAGAGCCCTTTCTGTGGAGCTCCTGGGACTGAGCCTGGGACCTCGTGCCAGCAAAGCCAGTGTTTCCTCACTGACCTACGGCCTGTCCTCTGAATCCAGTTTGGTGTAGTGGTTAAGTGCGTGGACTCTAATCTGAGAGAACCGGGTTTGATTCCCCAGTCCTCCACTTGCACCTGCTGGATGACCTTGGGCAAGCCGTAGTTCCGGCACAGTTGTCCTTGAAAAAGCCGTTTGTGTCAGAGCTCTCTCAGCCCCACCCACCTCACAGGGTGTCTGTTGTGGGGAGGGGAAGGGAAAGGAGTTTGTAAGCCGCTCTGAGACTCCTTTGAGTAGTGAAGGGCGGGGTATGAATCCAATCTCTTCTTCTTCCGCCATGCAGGACTGGTGAGAAGGATATTGACCTTTCTTGTTTCCGCCTTGTTTGTTCTCTAGCTTATCTGCAAAACCCTGTGTAATGATCCTTGTGTTATTGAGTGTGTGTCTTTAAATGTTTGGTTTGAGTGCAGTGCTGGAAGGAGAGTGATCGAGGGAGGCAAGTGTGCTGTGACTGGTGGATGACTGAGAGTGTAGGAGGAGTTGTTCTGAGTGAATCTGTGTGTGTGTCTTGAGGGAATTCTGTGAGCGATATGGCAGCGTTCTGTGTGGAAACTTAAAGAGTTCTGTGTATGTGTCCTTGGGAAGTGAAGTGTGGAAGAGCTATGAGGAGAGTCTGTGCGACTCTAAAGTTTTGAGAGCGTTCATAAGACAAAGAGCTTAGCCAGTGTGGCTGCCCACATGAAAGAGAGATTCCTGTCAGTGTGGAATTTTAGTGTCAGAAGGACTGTGTGTGTGATGCCTTTGTGTTTGTTGTTGTCGCACAGTCGAGTCCGACTCTTCGCGACCCCATGGACCAGCTCCCGCCAGGCCCTCCTGTCTTCCGCCGTCCTCTGAAGTTTGCTCAATTTCATGTTCGTTGCATCTATGAAACTGTCTAACCATCTCATCCTTTGCCATCCCCGTCTTCTTTGACCTTCAGTCTTTCCCAGCATCAGGGTCTTCTCCAGGGAGTGCTCCCTTCTCATTTGGTGGCCAAAGTATTTGAGCTTCAGTTTCATTATCTGGCCTTCCAGGGAACAGTCAGGGTTGATTTCTTTTAGGATTGACTGATTTGATCTCCTTGCAGTCCAAGGGACTCTCAAGAGTCTTCTCCAGCACCATAGTTCAAAAGAATCTATTCTTCTGCGCTCGGCCTTCCTTATAGTCCAACTCTCGCAGCCATACATGACTACTGGGAATACCATTGCTTTGACCATGTGGACTTTTGTTGGCAGGGTGATGTCTCTACTTTTTATCATGCTGTTGAGGTTCGCCATCGCTTTCCTCCCAAGGAGCAGGCGTCTTTTAATTTCATGGCTGCTGATACCTACCCAGTTATATTTACAAGTTCTTTATTCCCAAAACAGTTAAAGATAACCAGCAACTTGTTTTTGTTCTTTAATCAATAAATCAAATTTTGTTGAAGTATATCCCAGATTTCAGTTCAATCCTTCCTCAGGGCCACATAAACTTCTGAAATGCCCAGACCCTAGGTCACATTACCAGCAGCAGAAAGAGATTTTTGGAATTTTGAATTCCTGGTGGCAGCAGAAACTAACCAGTTTATATACAAAGAGTCATTTTAAAGTAAAAAACAGACCCCAAAAATAAGCAGCACACCACACCCTATTTTGCATGAGATATGTAGCATCTAGCAAAGAAGATGCATGATATATATTTAGGAAATGAGCCCACTGTTGGGACATTCAGATAGCTGGTCCCCCATTCACATATCATCTGGCCTTTGACATAGCAGGGCATAGAAGAAAGCCCCCCAGGGTAGGTAGTGGCTGCATGCTCCTTCGGCCTTTCTTGTGTTGCAGACGGGGGGGGGGGAGTCATGTCCCTGTCCCGGGCTGCACTTTCCTGTTTGCCAAGAACACCCCCCCCCCAAAAAAAAACCCCAAACCCTATCAGTGAGGGGCTGTACTGCCATGAGGGCTGGTGGACTTGGAGAGAGTTGTCCATGGTGAAGGAGAGGACACGAAGGAGGGGATACCAAGGTGGTTGTTTTAGGGACTTTCACCCACAGCAGTTTCCAGGGGTGCCTGTAGCCACAGGTTTCCCTGTTTATAGGTAGCAATGATATGATCTGAGAACATAAGAGAAGCCATGCTGGATCAGGCCAGTGGCCCATCCAGTCCAACACTCTGTGTCACATAGTGGCCAAAAATACCAGGTGCCATCAGCGGGGCTAGAACTTGAGACGCCCTCCCACTGTTGCCCCCCAAGCACCAAGAATACAGAGCATCACTGCCCCTGACTTAAAAACATAAGAGAAGCCATGTTGGATCAGGCCAGTGGCCCATCCAATCCAACACTATGTCACACAGTGGCCAACACCCAGTCTCTTTGCCTGCTAGACTTGATACCATTGAGTTGTGAATTAGCTAAGAGGCCTTGGACTCCACTTTTTTGTGCTATCCTAACCAGACAGAAGTCTATTACTTCTTAAGAAATTTTAAAATCCACGTTGTCTTAACAAATTTTTTTACCTATACCATCTGGCTGTATTTCACTGTTAACTATATGTAACATTTTAAGGTATTTGCTGATCTTTGATCGTAATAAATCAAATTGAATTGAATACCCTTTCATTTCTAATAATCCCCAGCATAGCATTTCAGCAACTGGGTACCAAAAGAGGACCACAGCTTTCAGAAGACAGCTACAATCGCATCTGCTTTCATAAACCATGCAAACTGTGATATGAAAATATTGCAGTGATCGTGATGTCCGAAGGCAGTAAACAGTTCATTTATTTTTTCCAACTCAGGTTTGGCACCTCTGTGTGAGAACTTGCCCAGTGGGAAGGCAAACAAGCCCGGAGATGTCGTGAGGGCCAAGAGCGGGAAGACGATTCAGGTTGGTGTGTTTCAGGAGGCTCTCCTGCAACTGTTTGCACGAAGCAGGCAAGGGTCAGTTGACTGTGAGCAGCGAAAGCAGTTTCCCTTGGAGATCAACCCCACAGAGAAAATCCGGTCTTGGTGGACAGTGGGTAGAATGTCCTGTTTTTACAGGCTTGGTGTCTGGCTTTGTGGGTGCTTCATCTGACAAAGTGCTAGTTCCTGGAGGGGTGTAATAGATGAGCCCAGACATCCCTGGTCGAAGTACTGCCTGAACCGCACACTCGGGCCTGGTCTATATGAGAAACAAAAGGATGTAGTACAATGGAATGTCACTCCCCAGGCTGCTGGTGGGAATCCACGTTTTAAAAAAATGTCCTGTTTATTCGATTTATGTCCTGCTGTCTATCCTGTGTCTTCCAGCAATTGTTCCAAATGCTTCCTAAGCCTAAAAGACTCCTTGTAGGTAGACAGCTAGAACAAGCACTTATGCTTTTTCCCCTGATGTCTTAGTTTCCCCCCCTTCCCCCCCCTTCCCCCCCCTTTTTTTTTGCTGTCAAGTTGCAGCCGACTTGTGGCAACCCCTGATGGGGTGTTCAAAGCAAGAGAGGTTCAGAGGTGGTTGGCCATGGCCTGCCTGGCCTGCCTCTGCATTGCAACCCTAGTATCCCTTGGTGGTCTCCCATCCAAATACTGACCATGGCTGACCCTGCTTAGCTTCCGAGATCTGGCAAGATCAAGACCGCCTGGGCCATCCAGGTCAGGGTTTTTTTCCCCCCAGCTATAGAAGTTCTTATGCATAGGGGTTTTTTTAATAATGCACCCCTCCCCCCAAATGGTATTCTCCACTCTTCCACTGCATTCTCCTGCATGGACAGACCACTGTTCAGTAGCTTTGGGGCTCCCTCACCCCCCATCTGTGGTATATGAATTCTACTCTACAGGCAGGGGTCATTTCGTAGAAAAAGAGGTGCAGGAGCTTATTAGCATAACTCATTAGCATAACTTATTTGCATATGCCACACCCCCTGACATCACCGGAAGTGTGTCAGAAGGCAACACCCACCGCTCAGGCTCCACTGGACTGTTTTGGATTGCTAGCTATTGGGGGGGGGGACGTGCAGATCTGTCCTCGCAGAGGAGGGAGAGGTTGTACCTGAATAAAACTTGGTCTTAAAGGTGCCACTGGACTGTTTTGGACTGGGGGGTCAGGGAGGGGCTCTGCAGCTTACCTGGCTGCTTCTTGCTCTGACTGAGGGCTGCTGGGAGCAGGGGGTGGGGCTTGTTGCATGTGCCCGCCCCCTGGGCTCTTTACTGGTGGAGCTCCGCTCCTGTGGGCTCCTGCAGGAAATGACCCCTGTCTACAGGGTAGCAGTTGAGGTGTTTGGGGGTAGTGCCTGGGAAATGCCCTGAAAGCTCAGATTGGGCTTTCCAAACATGAAGATGATGCTTGTTTATATTCCTTTCTCCCTAGTTTTATTATAATTTTTCGCTGTCAAGCTGACTTCAGCTAATGTTTTCGGCTAAACATGAGGAAGAACTTCCTGACAGTTAGAGAGGTTCCTCCGTGAAATGGGCTTCCTGGGGGGGTGGTGGGCTCCCCTTCTTTGGAGGCTTTCAAAGAGGGGCCAGATGGCCACCTGACAGCAGTGTGGATTCTGTGAACTTGGGCAGATCATGAGAGGGAGGGCAGGCAGCGTTGTTGCACCAGTGCTTGGTTCTCCTGGCCCTTTCTTCTATGCCCAAGGAAATGCCAGTTGCCACTTTGGGGTCAGGAAGCAATTTTTCTCCAGGCCGGTTTGGCCGGGGATCCTGATGGTTTTTTGTCATCTTCAGGGCAGTCACTGTGGGTGTGGGAGGGGGAGGTATTTGTGAATTTCCTGCCTTGTGCAGGGAGTTGGACTAGATGACCCCGCAGGTCCCTTCCAACTCCCTGTTTCTGTGACTCTGTGACTTATGGCGACCCCTAGTGGGGATTTCAGGGCCAGAGACGTTCAGAGGTGGGCTTGCTGTTGCCTGCCTCTGCATCGTGGCCCTGGACTTCCTGGGTGGTCTCCCATCCAAACACGGGCCAGGGCCGACCCTGCTTAGTTTCCGAGACCTGATGGGGTCAGTCTAGCCTGGGCTATCCAGGTCGGGACTTTCTCCCTCGTAGTGCGCTGACATAATGTGACGACAATGATCCAATAGAAAAAGAGGGTCTAACCCTTTCCTCCCTGGCTCCTCTGTTTTGTGTCAGATCGATAACACGGATGCAGAGGGAAGGCTGGTCTTGGCGGACGCTCTTTACTACGCACACAGCTTTAATCCCAGGGCCATTGTCGATGCCGCAACGTTAACAGGTATTGTGCCTTTTCATTTGTTCGTGGCTCCCGTCCTTCGTGGTCCCAGAATACCTGCTGGAATACCCGCTGAACAGCGACGGATCCTCTCCTTTGAGGACAGAGTCGGCCTGGCTCTGGCTCTGGGAGTGCTCAGCGACACACAGAGTGTGTCTGCGTGCATCATGCGCCATAGGTGGTGGCGCTGCCTGCGTCCTCCTCCCAAGACGTGTTCACCAGCCCATGAGTTCTGAGGAAAGGATGCGGCCTCTAGGCTATGCTGGCATGGCTTAAAGTGTGTGGTTTCCAACTGTGTGTGTCTTTTGTAAGCAGAGAGACTGCCGGCATTCATAAGAACGTAAGGGAAGCCATGCTGGATCAGGCCAATGGCCCATCCATTCCAACACTCTGAGTCACACAGTGGCCGAAACCCGGGACCCACCAGGAAGTCCGCGTGCGGGGCCAGAACTCCAGAAGCCCTCCCACTGTTGACCTCCCCAAGCACCAAGAAGACAGAGCATCCCTGCCCCAGACAGAGACTTCCATCTGTACCTTGTGGCTAATAGCCATTGGTGGACCTCTGCTCCGTATGTTTATCCAGTCCCCCCTTGAAGCTGTCCGTGCTTGTAGCCGCCACCCCTTCCTGCAGCAGTGAAGTCCACACATTAATGACTCTTTGGGTGAAGAAGGACTTCTTTTTATTTCATGCTTAGGAGGGTGCCGGCCTTCCTTCCTTTCAGACTTCTCACTTTTCTGTCCCGTCTTTGCTCCATCACCAGCCTGAGTGCCGCTTCAGTGGATTCCTGGGAGGACCCCCCCATCTAGGCTCCGACTGGCAAGCAGAGGGCGGAGCAGGGAGGCTCCAGGTGCAGAGGCTGCAGAGCCAACGAGTGGAGGGTGGGAGGCCGGCCGGTTTGGCATTTTGCTTCTGTGGGAGGCGGGGCTGTCCCAAGTCTCGTGTCTCACTTAGCTTGCCCTCCATCATCCCACAGGAGGGGCCCACGGGGCCCCAGAAGTGGAGCTTCAGGCATTCGCGGAAGAGACGGATTTTTCTGGACCCATTTCCGTTTGGCTCCGGGCCAGGGTTGGGAACAGAGACTGTTTTGGTCGCCTTGGTTGATGACCTCTCCCGGGTACTAGGCAGGGGAATGTGGCCCCGCTAGTTCTGGCCTTCTCAGGGGCCTAAGACTATCGACTGTCGTATCCGACTGAGCTGCCTCTGGACACTGGGACTGAGGGGCACTGTGCTGTGGTGGTTTGAGTCCTGTCTGGGGGTCGGTCTCAGAAAGCAGCGTTGGGGGATTCCTGCTCTGCCGCTGACCTGTGGGGATCTGCAGGGGGTCCATCATATCCCCCATTCTGTACGAAGCCCCTGGGAGAGGTCATCAGGAGGCATGGGCTGCAGTGTCACCAATATGCAGACGATCCCCACCTCTACCTTTCTTTTCCACCTGATTCCAAGTATGACTTTGATGTTCTGAACTTGGTGTTTGGAGTCAGTAACGGGCCAGATGAGGGTGAACAAGGCGAAACGTAATCCTGACAAGACAGCGGTGCTTTGAGTGAGCAGAAAGGAAGGAGGACTCCAGAGCAGGCTAATTTATGCAGCAGCCAAATCGCTCGCTCACAACTTTAATGCCAGTAGCTCACAAAGTAGGATTTTTGCTCACAAGACTCCACAGCTTAGAGGGAGCATGACACTCCCCCTTGAAAAGCCAGATTCGCAGCTTGGGAGTGCTGCTTGACACAGTGGTCGCCTTATGACACTGGCTCGGGGTGCATTTGCCCGGCACCGGCTTTCCTGAGTCAGTCAGATCTCACCACAGTGCTCCTTGCCTTAGTTACATCTAGACTGGGCTACTGCCGTGTGTTGTGCTTGGGGCTACCCTTGAAGAGGGTTTGGAAGCTGCAGCTAGTGCAGAATGCTGTGGCTGGACTGCTGGTCGGGGCCAGCTATCGGGAGCGCCTGTCCCCAACCCTACAGCAATCACACTGGCTCCCAGTCCGCTCCCAGGCCCCATTCACAGTGTGGGTTTTGTCCTTTAAAGCCCTCCGTGCCTTGGGACTGGGGCATCAGGAGGACCGTCTTCTTCTGTACATTCCGGCCCAGGAATTAAAATTGTGGGGAGAGGCCCTCCTGACTGTCCCACCAATTAAGGACACTTCAAGGCTTACCCTTGAAGCTGATCCGGAAATTACAGCTGATACAAAATGCAGCGGCGCGCCTGCTGGCGTCGACACCTGTGCAGACCCACGTTCGGCATGTGCTCTGTCAGCTGCATTGGTTGCCAGTTGAGTACTGGATCCGCTTCAAGGTGTTGGGAATTACCTTCAAAGCCTTATACGGCCTGGGACCAACATACCTAAGGGACCGCCTCTTCCCATATACGCCTCGGAGAGCGTTACGCTCTGAGAGTCAACATCTCCTGGTGATTGCCTAGCCTCGACCAGGGCCAGGGCTTTTTCTGCCCTGGCCCCCCACCCTATTGAGACCAGGGCCCTGCGGGATCTTATGCAATTGCGTAGGGCCTGTAAGACGGAGCTCTTCCACCAGGCCTTTGGCTGATGCAGCGGGCGTCCACATATGGCCCTCCGAGGTTGCAATCTCCCACCTACTGATAACCGGCTACATCAATGGGCCGGATTCTCCCTACGGCAAGCATGACTACTGATTTTATTTATTTATTTATTAGATTTATACCCTGCCCTCCCCAAAGGCTCAGGGCGGCTAACAAAACGGCACGAATGCCAACATTAAAACAGATAAAAACAAAATAAAACAATATAATACAATCCAATAAAGTGTTGGTGCTCTTGGTTTCACATTAATCATTTATCCCAAGATGGAGCTAATCCCAAACCAGCATATGTTCCAGTAGCACTGTCATCCCTTCTCAATCCAGGGTCGTCTCGCACACCCCAATGGTACCCACATAAGTGGTGGTGGGGGGTGCGATGGTGTAAAAATGACGAACATGGAATAGTGGTGGCGGCGGCTCCTACTCAAAAGCCTGGCGGAAGAGCTCCATTTTACAGGCCCCGTGGAAGTGCGAAAGGTCCCGCAGGGCCCGGATCTCCTCCGGGAGTTCATTCCACCAGGTAGGAGCCGCCACCGAAAAAGCCCTGGCCCTGGTAGCAGCAAATTTGATGACTCTGGGGCCTGGAATTACCAGGAGGTGTTGACTCCCTGACCGTAGTGCCCTTGGGGGAATGTATGGGGAAAGGTGGTCCCTTAGGTAAGTCGGACCCTGGCCATATAGAGCTTTAAAGGTAAGAACCAGCACTTTGAAGCGAATCCGGTACACTATTGGCAGCTAGTGCAGCGCTTTCAACACAGGCCAGATGTGATCCCTTCTAGAGAGCCCCATCAACAGCCTGGCTGCAGCATTCTGCACTAGCTGCAGCTTCCAAACCCTCTTCAAGGGTAGCCCCAAGCACAACACACGGCAGTAGCCCAGTCTAGATGTAACTAAGGCAAGGAGCACTGTGGTGAGATCTGACTGACTCAGGAAAGCCGGTGCCGGGCAAATGCACCCCGATCCCAACCCCCGACCGGTCTGACTCACCCCCAGGACCTCCATTTCTGCCGGGTTTAGTTTCAACCGGCTCAGTCTGAGCCGACCAGCCACAGCCTGTAATGCTCGATAAAGGTCATCTGGGTCGGAGTTTGACTGGCCGCCCAGCATCAGATAGACCTGGGTGTCATCTGCATATTGATGGCACCCAAGCCCACAGCTCCAAGCAATCTGGGCAACGGGGCGCATGTAGATGTTGAACAACATCGGGGACAGCACTGCCCCCTGAGGCACCCCACATTCAAGAGGATGTCTCCGGGACCGCTGATCCCCTATCGCCACCCTTTGTCCCCGACCTTGGAGAAAAAAGGCAAATCATTGGAGGGCAAGCCCCTGAATCCCCACGTTGGCGAGGCAGTGGGCCAGCAACTGGTGGTCGACCGTGTCAAGCGGCCAACAGATCTAACAACGCCAGTGCCGCCACACTGCCATGATCCAGATGCCTACGGAGGTCGTCAGTCAGGGCGACTGTTTATATGTTATATGTTTTAATGTGTTGTTAAATTTTATTGTATTTATTCAAATGTTGTGACCCGCCCTGAGCCCGTTTACAGGATGGGGGGGATATAAATGCGAAAAATAAATAAATAAATAAAAATTTGGTGGGCCCGTGAGAGAGGGCCTTTTCAGGGGCAGCCCCCCAATGATGGAGCAGCCTCCCCAGGGAGGTGCGCCCGGCCCCCTGACGGTTGATCTCCAGGAGGCCGTGGGAGACAGCTTTACTGAGGTCTGCCTTTTGGTCGATTTATTATTGGTGGGCCTGATCGGAGTTTTTAATCTTTGACTGTTAGAGGTTTTATCACTGTTGTTTTTATAATATTTTATTTATATCACAAGCCACCTTGAGTCCTGCCAAGGAGAAAAGCAGCTAAGATGGTTTAAATAGATAAATAAGAGGGGAGAGGGGTTTTTCCTCCAGCACAGCCGCCTGTTTGCCTCCTCGGCCCTCCCTCCCACCGCCGAGAGAGCAACTGGGTGCCTCCTCGCTGGCCTGCTCTCTCACCCATTCGGGAGGCAATGTGGCAAGCCACGCGTGCCCCCTGGCCGCTTCCAGCCCCTCGCGAGAACGAATCATCTTGCAAAAGGTCAGGAGCTGTTCCAGCCCTCCCTGCAGCCAGGCGATGCCCAGGTCTCCTGGCACTTTTGTTGCTCAGCTGCGGCAGCTGCCTTTCAAGGGTCCCACAATCAGTCCCATGGTTGCCGTCCACATCACCCCTGTCCTAATGTGGATGTTTCAGGGTGGGGTGTGTGTGTGTTTCCCTCATACCCAGACGACTTCGTCTTTTGCTCATCTGCGGCAGGACGCCCCTTCCTTGGACACATCCAGCAAACCGAACCTCAAAGTTTCTGGCTACTCGCACTGAGAGCAGGAGTCGTTTTGTGTGTGGCCGTGGCTCGTCGCAAGGACCGTGTGGTGTCTTCATGCTGTGGCTGAGCGGCTAGAGAAAGGCGGAAGGAGACTGAGCTGTGGCCGTCCATTCCCCCGTTTCTCTGCTCTGTCCGGACCCTCGTCCGTTCTTTCCCCTTCCTTGCTTGCTGGCCTCCAACCCACCCACCTTTGGATTTGGGAGGGGACGTATCGCAGCTCTCTGGGCACAAACGCGGCCTGCATTCCGATCTTTCCAGCGAAGGAAACTGTTCAGGGGGTACCTTCTATCTGACACTATCGAAGCACAACTGGAAGCGGAGAGAGAGCGCAAGAGACGCTCCTCCCACCCTGTGGGAAAACAGATTGGTAACGCGGGCTCTCTCTGCTCTTCTCTAGGTGCCATGGATATTGCGCTGGGATCTGCAGCCACCGGGGTTTTTACCAATTCGAAACAGCTGTGGGATCAGCTGTATGAGGTCAGTCACGGGACAAAGAGCAACTTCCTGGCTCACAAGGGAGGGGGGTGGCTACTGGCTCGAAGGCTGTAAGAGCGGATCCTTCTGTGGCGGATCGGTCAGTCAGAAGCTGCTGACCTTGGGAGCTAAAAACAGAACTGGACTCTGGAGGTGGGATGCCTCTTGCACGACCAGATCCTGGCACGAGTTACATGCCCCGTTGGGGATCTTTCTATGGGAATCTGACTGGTCACCTTGGGAATGAAGAGGGGGACCAGAAGAAGCTCTTGAATCCAATCTGACAAGGCACTTCTTAGATTCCTCCCTTTCAAAATGTAGAAACGCTTGAATTTTCTCTGTACATCTGGAACAGTAGTGGGCTTGTAAACACACACAATAGAACACTTGGGAGCAAGCTCCAGACTTCTGTTGCTTCAACTGATATTTCTTAGGCCTCATCTACATATAAGAACATCAGAAGAGCCCTGTTGGATCAGGCCAGTGAGGGTCCATCTAGTCCAGCATCCTGTCTCACACAGGGGCCAACCAGTTCCTCTGGAGGGCCAGCAACAGGGCAGAGAGGCCGAGCACTTCCCTTGATAGGAACCTCAGAAGAGCCCTGCTGGGCCAGACCAGTGAGGGTCCATCTAGTCCAGCATCCTGTCTCACACAGGGGCCAACCAGTTCCTCTGGAGGGCCAGCAACAGGGCAGAGAGGCCGAGCACTTCCCTTGATAGGAACCTCAGAAGAGCCCTGCTGGGCCAGACCAGTGAGGGTCCATCTAGTCCAGCATCCTGTCTCACACAGGGACCAACCAGTTCCTATGGAGGGCCAGCAACAGGGCAGAGAGGCCGAGCACTTCCCTTGATAGGAACCTCAGAAGAGCCCTGCTGGGCCAGACCAGTGAGGGTCCATCTAGTCCAGCATCCTGTCTCACACAGGGACCAACCAGTTCCTCTGGAGGGCCAGCAACAGGGCAGAGAGGCCGAGCACTTCCCTTGATAGGAACCTCAGAAGAGCCCTGCTGGATCAGACCAGTGAGGGTCCATCTAGTCCAGCCTCGTGTCTCACACAGGGGCCAACCAGTTCCCCTGGAGGGCCAGCAACAGGGCAGAGAGGCCGAGGCCTTCCCCTGATAGGAACCTCAGAAGAGCCCTGCTGGGCCAGACCAGTGAGGGTCCATCTAGTCCAGCCTCGTGTCTCACACAGGGGCCAACCAGTTCCTCTGGAGGGCCAGCAACAGGGCAGAGAGGCCGAGGCCTTCCCCTGATAGGAACCTCAGACGAGCCCTGCTGGGCCAGACCAGTGAGGGTCCATCTAGTCCAGCATCCTGTCTCACACAGGGGCCAACCAGTTCCTCTGGAGGGCCAGCAACAGGGCAGAGAGGCCGAGGCCTTCCCCTGATAGGAACCTCAGAAGAGCCCTGCTGGGCCAGACCAGTGAGGGTCCATCTAGTCCAGTCTCGTGTCTCACACAGGGGCCAACCAGTTCTTCTGGAGGGCCAACAACAGGGCATAGAGGCCGAGGCCTTCTCCTGATATTGCATCCTGGCTCTGGGCTTCAGAGGCTTAGTGCCTCTGAATATGGAGGTTCCCCTCAGTCACCGTGGCTTGTAGCCATTGATAGACTGATCTCCATGAATCTATCCAATCCCCCTTTCAAGGTGTTCATTCCTGTGGCCGTCACGACATCCTCTGGCAGCGAATTCCACATTTTAATCCCTCTCTCTGTAAATAATTATTTCCTTTTATCCATCCTGAACAAGCATGCAGGAGTCCGAGGCAACAGAATGACTGCATAGGTGGGTGGAATCCAGTTTCAAATGCTCCTTCATATATATGTGCTGGCTTTCTGTTGGCAGAGAGCTTTTAACATGTGGGAGCCATTCTAAAATACAGTCCTTCCCCTCCAGTCACAAGTGGCAAGAGCAGAAGAGGAAGAGATTGGATTTATCCCCCGCCCTTCACTACCCAAGGGAGTCTCAGAGTGGCTTACGATCCCTTTCTCCTCCCCTCCCCTCCCCACAACAGACACCCTGTGAGGTAGGTGGGGGCTGAGAGAGCTCTGACAGAAACTGCTCTCTTTCAAGGACAGCTCTGACAGGACTATGGCTTGCCCCAAGGTCATCCAGCCGGGTGCCAGTGGAGGAGTGGGGAATCAAACCTGGTTCTCCCAGATTACAGTCCGCGCACTTAACCACAACACCAAACTGGCTCTCAAGAATCCGGCTGGATCAGACCCCAGGCCCATCAGATCCAGCGTTCTGTTCATGCAGGGGCCAACCGGCTCCCTCTGGGAAGCCCAGAACCAGGAAGACAGCAACAGCATCATCCTGCCTGTGTTCTCCAGCACCGGATTTAGGGAGGCCTTCTACCTCTGGTACTGGAGGGAGTAGATCTCCATCATGATGAGCAGCCACTGATAGCCCCGTCCTCCATGAATGTGCCCACTCTCCCTTTTAAAGCCCTCCAAGTTGGTGGCCGTGGCAGCGAGTTCACAAATTGATACGCTGTGTGACGAAATCCTTCCCTTTGGTCAGTCCTTCCCACCACCTCAGCATTCCAGCAGTTCCTTCCCACTAACCTTATTCTCCAGCATGTGCTAATCAAGTCTCCACATCGTACGTTCACAAGGGAATTTGCACATTGGAAGTCCAAAGCGCATTTGACTGTTTCATGTGGACTCTACGCCAGAGAGAAAGTAGAAGACACAAATGCTTTGTTCTGGGTGATCGAGTGTGCTGGAGTCATTAGCTCTGGGATCAGAGCCATAAGCTTTGGGATCAGATCAGAATCATGACTGCATCTTGTCCTGGACCTGTGGAAAAGTTTTAAGAACACCAGAGTGGATCTGAGAGCCAGTTTGGTGTCGTGGTCAAGAGCACAGACTCTAATCTGGGAGAACCGGGTTTGATTCCCCACTCCTTCACATGCAGCTGCAGGGTGACCCTGGGCAATCCGCAGTTCTCTCAGAGCTGTCTCAGCACCACCTACCTCACAGGGTGTCTGTTGTGGGGAGGGGAAGGGAAAGGAGATTGTAAGCCTCTCCAATCTCTTCTTCCTAGCACTCCCGTGAGTTAGATGCTTAAGGAGTTTCGTCCAACTTAAGCGACTCTTCCAGACCTTGGAGAAAGGCCTCAAACCTTATGAGGTGGAGTGGTAGGACAGGGGCAGGATCCACCCCGTTGACTTCCTTTCACTCACAGTGCGATGCTGATGTTTCCTCTGCAGGCCAGCATCGTGACCGGGGACCGCGTCTGGAGGATGCCTCTCTATGAACATTACACCAAACAGGTCACGGACGCTCCGCTTGCCGATCTCAACAACATTGGGAAGTACAGGTATGTTGCCGAACTGAAATACGGAACCCGTAGTCGCTGCTACTACATGGAACTGCCCCTCCGAGTCCTTGTGTCAGTCGGGAATCAGGAGAAGGAGAAGGTGCAGTATGTGAGGAGAGGACGCGGAGAGCCTCTCGAGGCACGGAGGCAAGAGTAGCTTAAGGAGCGTGTCTGGATTTGCGTGCAAGTGGGGCAGCGGCAGGAGGCAAGGCCGTCTGCTTCCAGGGATGGGCCCCTGCAAATCAGGCGAAGCCGTGGGTCAGTGCGCAGGCCGAACGGACAGCCAGTGCTTGGGAGCACCCCTCTGCCTCCACAGGCTCCCGCCCCACAAAGATGGGATCGAAGCTGGGAGGATGGAAATCTGAAACAACAGGGACCCGTGGCTTTTACATCTGAAAGGTGCAACCCTGGCGTGGGTTCTAAGCTGCAGCTGTGTCAACCCATGTCTCCGGCTGCCCATCCGTTTCTGGGCACATTTCAGAGGGCTGTTTCTTACCTTTAAAGCTTTAAATGGCTTGGGGCCGAGGTACTTGAAGGGCCACCTCCCTCTCTAGACTGTTCAGCCCGCCAGGTAAGGTCTTCCTCACAAGACCTGCTCTCTGTGTCCCCGTTTCCAAAGGTGAGGTGGTTGGAGACGGGGCTTTCTCAGTGGTGGCGCCCAGTGCTCTCTCTAATTTGAGCTAGTGAGAGCTAAGCGCACAGTTTTTTAGCCTCTAGCTCAGGCATTTTTGTCTTCACTCAGGAAGGAGGGCTCCAGAGCAAACTGATTGATGCAGCAGCCAAATCGCTTGCTTCCAACTTTAATGTCAGTAGCTCACAAAGCAGAATTTTTGCTCACAAGACTCCGCAGCTTAGAGGGAGCAACCTCGCCGTTCCCCATGAGGGTTTCCTGGCAGCTACCCTACCGTCTTTTCAGTGCCAGGCCGAAACATTTTGTATTACCCATGTATTACCCACAGCCAACAACGAAGTACACGCATTCAGGAACGGTAATATTTTTATTGCAGAGCTATAGATGCAGTAACATAACATAACATGTTAAGAATGGCAGCGGCCCCATGGGCATAATAGGATATAGGGTATTCGTATGCATATACACTCCAGTACTGGCCAATTTGACGCCCTCCCGCGCGCGGGCTAAGGCTTAGAGACCGTTAGGTAGCTGAAGCTGAGAACGAACACTCTCCCACGGCACCTAGGGAAGTCCCAGACACTACAACACCCTCCTGCACATCTGTATAGATAAGCGTTTCGGCGCACAGCAGAGAAATCACAGAAAGGAATGCAGTCGCAATTAACCTGAAAGGAAAGCAATAGCAATTAACCAGACACAGACCAACCTCCCCAACCTTCAAGGCAGCGTAGCTGACAGAAGCATTATAGTCTGCTTATAGCTCAAGAACTGCACACGTTTTTATGCCTTGGCTGGGTTTTTATGGCTGAGTTTAAATTAATACAGTGCTTTGTGTTTTACAGTGTTTTGTGCTTTATTGTGTTTTATTTTGCAAGCCACATTGGGCAGGTTCCCTGGAGAGGGGGCACAGAAAATGTCTAAATTAATAAACGTCTGAAATGAGCTTGCATTCTTAAGTAAACAGTAAAAGAGGATTAATTATGGCAATCCTTGTCTTTCCTGTCAGGTCTGGTGGCGCCTGCACAGCTGCTGCCTTCTTGAAAGAGTTCGTAACCGCCCCTCACTGGGCTCACTTGGATATTGCTGGCGTGATGGAAAATAAAGACGAAGTCCCGTACCTCCGCAAAGGCATGGCAGGTCGCCCCACGCGGACTCTAGTCGAGTTTATTACCCGACTGAGCCAAGACAAGAAAAGCGTCTAGGAAGTGGCTAGATCTGCCCTTGTGTAGCCTCCAACCTTAAAACCAGTCCTTTGGTTAATTTTGGAACTGATTCAGAAACGAGCTAATGTCCCCATGGGTGTAGATGACCTACCAAAATACCCAAAGGACAACACGTGGTGTTTTCTGCAAATTAAAAAAAAAATACTATAGTGACGGACTACAAATTCATTTGTAAAAGGCCCTTGCCAAACAAAGATCTCTTATTTTCTCCCCCTTTTTGTTATGCCAACGAGACATCACAGAGCCCTTTTTGTACATTTAGTACTGAAGGAACAATCGCAAATCAGACTTAGAAACCGGGACTGTAAATCTGTCACAGGCAATAAACTTAACTTTGAAACCTGAGTGTTGATTTATAAATGCACCCCCCCCCCCAGCTTTGAGAAAGGTTGCTTGCTGCCCTCCCAGAAAAACACTGAAAGGGACAGAAGTTGGAATGTTACCCTGCCTACTTAAGAACATCAGAGAAGCCAATGTTGGATCAGGCCAATGGCCCATCCAGCCCAACACTGTCACACATTGGCCAAAAATGCCAGGTGCCATCAGGAGATCCAGCAGTGGGGCCAGGACACCAGAAGCCCTCCCACTGTTGACTCCCCCCCCCCAGCACCAAGAAGACAAAGAAGCCCAGGCCCCAGCCTGAGAGTCCCTATCTATACCTTGTGGCTAATAGCCACTGATGGACCTCTGTTCCAGATGCTTATCTAATTCCCTTTTGAAGCCGCCCATTCTTGTAGCCGCCGCCACCTCCTGTGGCAGTGAATGCCATGTGTTAATTACTCTCTGGGTGAAGAAGGACTTCCCTCTTCAATCAGATCTGATACAACTGCTGTTATTGCTGGAGCATCATCCACGAGCACAGTGCTTACAGAGTACATGATATAAGACAGGTGCTTGTGCTGAGGAACTTGTAATGAAAACCCGACAGAGGGGCAGCAGTGAGATGGGGAAGACTACGCCGTCATTCCAGATTCATTTCAGGAGGGGAGTTGTGGCAAAGGCTTCACGGGAAACGTGAGGGTGGAGGGCGATGCGGCACACGGCGGTTCTTGAAGTCGGTGAAAGGCACAAGAGGGCAATGAGGGGGAAAGGGCAAAGTCACTGGAGACAGGGCAGCTGAACATGCAGCCCAGGATACTATTGGGTTAAATGTAAAAATATACATCATTTGCCTTGGGAGCACAGAAGCTTTACACAGTATCCCCGAAGGGGAAATGCTGTTCAAGCAAATTACAAAGGTGGTCTGACTTTAATGGTAACGAGAGACAGAAATTTTACAGCACATCTCGTGTGAGCTATTCACATAGGGACATTTAACTTACTGTGTGGACAGATTAACTTCAAAAAGGTTCGCTTCCAAGCCTGGATAAGTTGGAACACAGAAGGGCCAGCAAGGGCTTCTAGTCAATGAGAGGGTGGGGCCAACAGCCAAGTGTACCAGAGAGAGAGAGAGAGAGAGAATTCTCTTAACCCTTTCCCTTCCAGATCCTCTGGCATGCAGAGTTACAGTATCCCACATATCCTTGGGGAGGAACCAGCAGGTGGTGCAGCTGTGCTCCTGGTAGCCATGATGGCAGCACCATCAGGCAAAGGGTTGATCTGGTTGATCACTAGCAAAACATGAGCCTGCAGTGCGATGTGGCTGCGAAGAAAGCCAATGCAATCTTAGGATGCATTAACAGAAGCCTTGTGTCCAGATCAAGGGAGGTGGTCGTTCTGCTCTATTCTGCTATGGTCAGGCCTCACCTGGAGTCCTGTGTCCAGTTTTGGGCACCACATTTTAGGAAGGATGTTGACAACCTCGAGCGTGCCCAGAAGAGGGCAACCAGGATGGTGAGAGGGTTGGAATCCAAGTCTTATGCGGAAGTATAGATAGACCACAGTCCCTAATCATTTATCTTAAGTAACTCTAGCCCCGGTCACATGGGTCAGATAACAGGGGGGGGGGGGAGGCATGGCTGTTTGCCCTGGAGCAAAATAAAGCACGGTAGCCCAATCACACGGTCCCCCGAGTCTCTGCGCTTAGGCTGTTAGCTGGCAATCACACGGCGATGCTGGAGCGTGGCAAAGAAGCGGCACGGCAAGCATTTTGCGTTTGTGCGCATGCACAGTTCTGCGGAGCAGCACTGCTTTCATTTTCGTGTTTGTGCGCATGCGCTTACGAAAAACATCCAGTTTGTGACGGGAAGTGGACGGGCACCGGATGCCACGGGGTACTAGCACTCCTGTGATCAGACGCCCGCCCCTGCCCCACATTTTCCGGATACTAGTGCACTTTCCGAGGTACTTTTTTACTGCGCATCTTCGGCGGGACGCCACGGGTGTGCTACGCTTCCCAGATGTTGCCGTCTGATCATGCCCCGAAAATCCGCCCGACATTCGTGCCTTTCTTGCGGCAAATTCCGTGACGGAGGGGGCCTCTGTGAATCTAAACAGAGTCTGAGTCCAGGGGTACCTTTAAGACCAACCAAGTTTTATTCCGATTATAAACTTCTGTGCACACACTCACTTAAGCTTACACCCAGAATAAACCTTGGTGGGTCTTAAAGGTGCCCCTGGACCCTAAATTTGCTCGGCTGCTTCAGACCAACACGGCCCCCCGCCCACCCCTGAATCTAAATAACTTTGGTCCAGGTAGTCTGCAGTGTTGGTCTGAGGCAGCAGAGCAAATCCAGAGTCCAGTGGGGGGGCGCCTTTAAGGCCAACCAAGGTTTACTCTGCCATTCCAGTGCATTGGAGAAAGTGTGCCTTGCACACAAATGCTCATCCCTCGAACAAACCTAGGTCTTAAAGGTGCCCCCATTGGAATTTGTCAGGATTTGTCACACCCTGAACACTCCCTGTTTGAACTGCTGCCTTCGGGTAGAAGATATAGGACAATTAAAACAAGGACAAACAGATTAAAAAACAGTTTTTATTCGAGAGCTACTATTGCTTTAAATGCTGTATGAATTGGAATTTGGGTGACATTGGTGGCTTAAGTTGCAATGTGAACCTTAAGGGAGTTATGGGATGGTTGTGAATGGTTGTGTGAGTGTATAGGAGTATGGTTGTAGATCACCGAATGAATTTCGTTGTACTATGTACAACGACAATAAAGTATATTATTATTGTTGTTGTTGTTCTCAATGACTTTGGGACCGCCGCGCACCGTTTCAAATGTACAGCGTCAAATGTCATCATCTCTTGCCATCCGCCTGCTGGTCAAAGGAAACATTCTGAGGAGAAATCACCCTCGCATCCTGCCCGGGGTTCGGCCTCAGGGAGAGAAAGCAACTTATCTGAAGAGAGCGACCGACACCGCCCAATCAGAAGCCTGGACTCCTCCCTCGTTTCCTCGCAACGCACCCTCACAAAATGGCGTCCGAATAAGCCCGCCCCCTAGGAACAAGGAAACGCTCTAGGACTGCCGAGTCTATGGTCCAGGGCACGCCTTTCCCTCAGGACGCCCTACGTCTCTCTTTGGTCGGTGCGTCGACCGGGCGCCTGCGCAGTACTGCCCTCTGGCCTCGGCGCGGTTGCCATGGCGGCCGGCTTGAGCGGGATGTTCGGGATCGCCCCCGGCGGCCCAGGCCCCGCTGGCCTCCTGCCCCTGAACCCCGGCGCTGGGTCGCGAAATCCCAACGGCACTCTGGTGGATGAGCTGGAGGCCTCCTTCGAGGTAGGCGGGGCAGGGCGGAGAGCGGACGAGGGTCGCCGCGCCCCTTTCTCGACCGGGGGGGGGGATTTCGAAAAAAGAGGGCTTGGGGGGCCCGTATGGACCGCGCGCCGTCGTCACTTCCGGTTCTCCGCGAGGGGTCTTCGCAGTACTGAGCAGCCGTTCGATCCCACGAAGCTCATTGGTCTTTCAGTCCGGAACCGGACGTTGCGCCATAATTACGCTCTAGGGCGCTGTGTCTATGTTCCTTTTGTCTACCTTTCGTAGGGATGCCAGCTTCCAGGTGGGACCTGGAGACACCCCCCGAATAATTTCCAGACTACGGAGATCAGCTCCCCTGGAGGAAATGGCGGGTGGAGGACTGAGGCCCCTGCCCTCCCCAAATGTCCAGGAGTTTCCCTAACACTAGCCAAGGCTTTCCTGCCTCCCCCCCCCCCCCTTTTCAGCAGAGAATAACCCTTTGGACCCCTAGGCTGCCCCTCTGAAATTCATCCTGTGGTAGAATCGGTCACCCTTCTTGTTGGCAGCAGAAGGGCAAGAAAATAGGCGTTCCTTTTAAGGTTATGTTTTTAGTCATCACTGGGACGAATTTTGAGTCCACGATGACTGGAGAAAGGTAGGCTAGAAATGCTCCAGACCAGTAAATATATTCTAGGGGGGGGGGGGGCACAGTCTGACAAAAGTAGGAAAGAGCCTTCACGCGCCTGAAAGACTATTAGTTTCATCTGGCAAATGGAGTTAGTCATACTGCTCAGTTCCAATGAAGTCGTTTTATTTTGACATCTCCTTGAGCCAGTTTGGTGTCGTGGTTAAGTGCGCAGACTCTAATGTGGGAGAACCGGGTTTGATTCCCCACTCCTCCACTTGCACCTGGCTTGATGACCTTGGGTCAGTCACAAGCTCTGTCAGAGCTGTCCTTGAAAAAGAGCAGTTTGTGTCAGAGTTCTCTCAGCCCCACCCACCTCACAGGGTGTCTGTTGTGGGGAGGGGAAGGGAGAGGAGTTTGTAAGCCGCTCTGAGACTCCGAGTGAAGGGCGGGGTATAAATCCAATCTCCTCTTCTTCTTGTGGACTTCTTGGCTGTCTAGACCAGAATGATACACAAAGCTTCCACTTCAGATAGTGAATTGAAAGCCCCCTTTGATCATCATGACTCAGTAAGACAGCCCTCTGTACGTACCGGACATTCTATTCACTGTTGAAGCGGCAACAAATTCTGCTCCTGTGTATTTAGTATCAATATCACCATGGCACTAACAGCCTGGCAGGAGCCTGGGTTATGGGGGTAAGCGACCATTCTCAATGCTGAGTGAAGGACACCCTCTGCTATTAATATTTCGAATCATAGAATGTTAGAGTTGGAAGGGACCTTGCAGGTCATCTAGTCCAACCCCCTGCATACTGCAGGAGCATAGCCGAAAGATAGCCCTACAACATACCTGAAAGATGGTCATCCAGCCTCCGCTTAAAAACGTCCAGCGAAGGAGCATCCACCACCTCCTGAGGCAGACTGTTCCACTGCTGGGACACTGATTGTCATTGGGTGGTCACTTGTAAATTGTATGCCAAAATATGCAGCAGAAGACATGGTGATAAAGCAGCAGTTTAGTGCATTGTTACACTTTAAGACAGCAGTGGAAGGGACTATTTGTCAGAGCACAGAGTTCCTGTACATTAATAATTGTAGATGGGAAACTAGTATGCATTAGTTTTAATTGCAGCATTTCTTTTACACGGGGAACTTTACCATAAAAAACCTTTGCCGTCTCACCTGCAGCTAGAGGCCCATGCTACAGCCTCAGAATTCAGCCACCAGAATTCTGCTGGATTTGTAGACCAAGTTTCAGGCAAACAAAGGTCCCAGTCACAAGAGCGGTATGATCCGCTGCTGAAGAGAGGCAAATTAGAGCCGGAGCAAAAAGAACCGCGGGAGCGCGATCCAATGTGCCCCCACGGCTCCGTGCTCCGGCAGCCAATCACACGTTGTGCAGCAAACCGGCAGTAGCGCGGTTGTGCGCATGCGTGGGACAGGGAATGGCGTGGCTGCGACGGGCAACCAGCACTTCCCCGACCAGATGCCTGGAGTTGCCGCACATCATCTGGAAGGTAGCGCTCAAAAGGTAGTACCTTTTAAATGCGTGTTTTCGGGCCGAAGGGCTGGATCGGGGACGGGTGCGTGATGCTTCCCAAATGTTGCAGTGTGATTGCGCCCGCTTGATGCACCCCCGATCCGTCCCTCTTGCGGGGCAGATCCTCCCGTGTGACCGGGGCCTCTAGCTCACGATTTCTGCTACGCCTTGACTTGGATAGGCCAGACTTGCCCAGTCTTGTCAGATCTTGGAAGCCAAACAGGGCTGGCTTCGGTCGGTATTTGGATGAGACCACCAAGGAAGTCCAGGGTCACTATGCAGAGGCAGGCCATGGCAAACGACCTCTGAATGGTTCTTGCCTTGAGAAAACCCAACGTGGTTGCCACGTCGACTGTGGTTTAATGGCAAAACAAACAAAAAATACCAGCGTAGCGTAGATGTTTTATGAGATTTACTTATTTTATTTATTTATTTATTTTTGGATTGATATCCCGCCCTCCCCAAAGGCTCAGGGTGGCTCACAAGGAGGCATAAATGCCAAGGTTGAAACAATGAAACAATATAAAGAACAGTATAAAATACAGTATGATACAATTCACTAAAATATCGGTGCTCCAATAAATCACTTAAATTGTGAATTCCAAGATGGGGTTCTGGAGTCCCGGCAGCACTGTTATCCACCAGGAATGTCTCACACCCCCAATAATACCCGCTCAACCGGTGGTCAAAGTGCGGAGACAGAGGAAGCGGTGATGGAATGGTGGTGGTGGTGGTGGCGGCTCCTATTCAAAAGTCTGGTGGAAGAGCTCAGTTTTACAGGCCCTGCAGAACTGCACAAGATCTCTTCTGGGAGCTTGTTCCACCAGGTAGGAGCCGCCACCGAAAACGCCCTGGCCCTGGTGACAGTAAATTTGATGTTCCTGGGGCCTGGAATGTCCAGGAGATTTTGATTCCCCGACCGTAGTGCCCTTGGGGGAACATGCTGGGAAAGGCCTTTATGTAAGCCGGACCCTGGCCATATAGGGCTTTAAAGGTAAGAACCAGCATTTTGAAGCGAATCCGGTACGCCATTGGCAGCCAGTGCAGCGCTTTCAGCACAGGCTGGATGTCGTCCCGTCTAGAGAGACCCATTCCCGTCTAGAGAGACCCATTCTGCACTAGCTGCAGCTTCTGAATTTGCAACAAAGGCAGCCCCATGTAGAGAGCGTTTACAGTAGTCTAACCTTGAGGTGACTTCCCTGAACACAAATTAATTAAATGGTTTCTGGCCTTGGTGGTATTTGCAACAAGTAAGAATAGTTTTGCACAGGGGTCATTCCGTAGAAAAAGAGGTGCAGGAGTTCATTAGCACAACTCATTAGCATAACTTATTTGCATATGCCACACCCCCTGACATCACCAGAAGTGTGTCAGAAGGCAACACCCACTGCTCAGGCTCCACTGGACTTTTTTGGATTGCTAGCTATGGGGGGGGGGACATGACACGCAGACACTCATACTCCTTGTGGCCCGGGGCTGCTGGGAGCAGGGGGCGGGGCTTGTTGCCTGTGCCCGCCCCCTGGGCTCTTTACTGCTGGAGCTCTGCTCCTGTGCGCTCCTGCAGGAAATGACCCCTGGTTTTGCAGAATGGTACCCAGTTCACATGTCATTGACAATTGCTGCAAAACATCTCTTTGTGGTGAAGCTCTATGTTGTACAAAAGTGGGTCAATCAGGTGGGTCGCCGTGTTGGTCTGAAGCAGCAGAACAACGTCTGAGTCCAGTGGAGGCACCTTTAAGACCAACAAAGCTTTATTCGAGGTATAAGTTATGTGTGCAAAGCACACTTCTTCAGATACGATGAAATGGAAATTACCAGTCCATACATATAGGTAGAGGATGAGCAGTAAATTAGCATAATGAAGATGTTTAACAGATTCAAGGACCAAATAACAAGCTTAGTTTATATGGTTAGCATTTGTGTGAGTTTAATTCCGGGGGGGGGGGGGGGGCGGGGGGAAAAAAAAAGAAAGAAAGAAATATGTCAAAATTGAAGGTGGATGGGCAGATGCATCCTTCTTAATCGTGGGATGCTAAGAGTAATTAACTGAGATCCTGCCGTTATACTTCATCCATCTCCTCTCAAGGATGGAGATAACCTTACAGCATCTACTTCTTTGAGGTGGGGCAGCAGGCTGTGCAGTATATCTCCTCTGCCCCCAGACCAGAGAAATACATTCCAACCTACCATTCCAAATGACATTAAATTCTGCTATTCATTACATTATATTACAACCTACTATTCTAATCTGTTATTCCAAATAAGAAATAAAATGAAAAAAAGAGGACGTATGGCCTTTCTGGGGGATTGGTGAGAATACAGATGTAAGGGCTGAGTGAGGTTAGCATACGTAGTGAGATAATATCTCTTGTTAAGGCCTGGGAAGTCCATTGTTCTCTGTGTTGTAATAACTTGCAACTCCGCAGTTTCCCTTTGTAGTCTGTTCCTGAAGTTTCTTTGCAATAAAACAGCTACTTTGAGGTCACCCATTGACTGTCCCGGGAGGCTGAAGTGTTTTCCTACAGTCTTGTGATTCTTGATGTCAGATTTGTGTCCATTTATCCTCTGGCCTAGGGTTTGTCCTGTTTGTCCTATGTAGAGAACCAAAGGGCTAGGCTTACCAAGTGGCGGCGGGGGATCCTCATGTCTTTACAGGATCCCTGCCGTGGGGACGGCGATACGCGTTGCACCCGCTGTCGCCAGGATGTGACGCTACGCTACACGTCACATCCTGGCGACGGCGGGTGCAACGCGTATTGCCGTCCCCGCGGCAGGGATCCTGTAAAGACATGAGGATCCCCCGCCGCCACTTGGTAAGCCTACAAAGGGCCTTGTTGGCATTTAATGGCATATACAATGTTAGAAGATGAGCACATGAATGAGCCTGAGATGCTGCTGTTAATGTCGTCAGGTCCAGTGATACTCCTCTCGTCTGGGTGTATGTGGCAGCAAAGTTGGCATCTGGTTTTATTGCAAGCGCAGGTACCAGTGGATCACATGAAGTTTTTAGTGACTTCTCGCTTGAGCTGCCACCCTGTTTAAGAAATCTCTATTGATTAATCGTGTGAGTTTTGAACTGATGAATTAACTGACTGACTGTCCATAGAAATAAAGCAATCGCTCCAGAGAACAAAGCAAACATTACATGTTAATGTTGCAATAACCACCATCAGAGAAGAGGCATTCTCTCCTGTCTGAGTACGAAGGGGAATGCCTCTTCGGAGAGAATGCTTGCCACCTTCAGTTTTGGTAAAAACTTGCATTCAAAAGTATATTTAAAAACTGGCTGCCTGAATAAATGGATATATCTGTCTAAACTTTCAAGATATTTTTAATCCGCGAACCTCATCAGTGAATCAACTACATTTTGCAACCCTACTCCTCATTATTGCAAAGAGAACAGCTGTTGCGTGTTGTAAGGACAGATTGCTTAATTCATTTGAATTAAAGCAAGTTATATGCTTAGAATGTTGGTTGCGTGACCTTTTGGTTGTAGTGAAGAAGAGTAGGTTTTAATACCCTGCTTTTTTATACCCTAAGGAGTCTTAAAGTGGCTTGCAATTGCCTTCCTTCCCTCTCCCCACAACAGTCACCTTGTGAGGCAAGTGGGGCTGAGAGAGTTCAGAGAGAACTGTGACTGGCCCAAGGTCACCCAGCAGGCTTCAGTTATCCAGATTAGAGTCCACTGATCTTAACCACTACACCATGCTGGCTATAGTGATTATGATATATTTTTCTGATTATGTAGGCTTGCTTTGCTTCCCTTGTGAGTCAAGATTATGTCAATGGAACAGACCAGGAAGAAATTAGAACTGGTAAGCACGTGTACCTGTCTTTATTTGGTTATGGGGATTGCCAGGACTGGGGAATTCTTCATTTTGGCTGCGTCATTGTTCATACATTTTGATACACCTGAAGCACTTTTTTCGTGAAGAGGCGTATTTCACTGTACAGTCAGGATCATACATAAATCTTTCCCCCGAACACTGGGTGGGCATCATCCCTCAATCATCCAATGAATATTGCCATCTGGCATCCCGTCCTCTCTTTGTCCATTCAGTCAGGGGTCAGGGCTGTGCTGTCCGTGCGTGATTCGTGGATTCTTTCATGTCTGTCACCTGGGCTGTCCCAGGGAATCCTGGTGCCTCCTTGCTGTACACTGGAACAATATCAGTGCCCGTTTCCTCTCAAGAGAGGAGTAAGCCATGGCTCACCACTCTCAGGGGCATACGGTAGTGGATGCATCTAAAAATCTGGCTCAGCATTGTGAAAAACACTCCAGTCCCTCTGACTGCACACAGGTTGGGGATCGCCGGGCCCGGCTGTGCTCTTTGAACCTTTGAAATTACTTTGGTATATCTTCTCTACATGTACTGATATCATATGACTCAGTTGGGTTCAAAAACTGAAATTTTGGAGGCCTGTGGCTTTTTCATTGCCTCTATCAAGATTCTTGTTTCTTTCCCAATGGAAGTAAAACTTTCTTAAAGTAATCTCTGCATCCTGTGTATGCAGCTGGCTAAATAGAGATCTCTAGTTGTTCTTTCTGAGCTCACTGTCTAACCATCGGCCATTATACATTTTTAAAGTTATGTTTTCAGAAGAGAAACTGTCGTTTCTGCATGATGTGTTTTTAAATACTAATATGTCACACAATAATGTTGACCCTTTCTAGTTATTTTGTAACGGGTTCGCTTTGTAAAGATGTTTGTCCTGGAGTTTTCCTTCCAAACCGCTTTAAAATCTTTGTTTCTCTGCCTATACGTGAGGTGTTGACCAGTGCATTCAGAAGTTTTTGGATGTTGCCAGACAAACAGAATGCTTTTTCCTGCAAAAAAGGCTACAGCTCTCTGTCCAGAAACCAGAGCAAGTAATTAAAGAGGTAAGGTGCTACTTTTAATTTCTCTCCTTGTAAATCTCAGTCATAATTGTATGCATTCTGTGGTAAATAGCAGTGATTTTAGTGGAGTGCTGTTTTGCACAAAGGTGTTCGGAATTATAGTCTTTGGATGTAAGCTCAAGGAATGAGGCATTCCTTCATTCAAGGCCGTTTATATAGCACATAGGCTTTTAAAGACGCATTCAGACTGACCTGCCAATGAGGTTTTTTCACTTTAAAAATTTTAACCGTATGGCTTGAGATTGTTCACGACCATTCATTTTTGCAGAGGTTTGGAGCCACCAACAGAGATCTTTGTGCTGTGCTGGAAATTTAACTGTGATTTAAATTGGGTCTTCGACCCAAAGAGCATATTTTTCACAATTCCATTTAAGAAAGAATAGAAGAAGAAGAGATTGGATTTATACCCTGCCCTTCACTACCCGAAGGAGTCTCAGAGCAGCTTACAATCGCCTTCCCCTTCCCCTCCCCACAATAGACACCCTGCGAGGTAGGTGGGGCTGAGAGAGCTCTTCCAAGAACTGCCCTTGAGAGAACAGCTCTGAGAGAACTTGTGACTGACCCAAGGTCACACCAGCAGCTGCCTGTGGAGGAGTGGGGAATCAAACCCAGTTCTCCCTGGTTAGACTCCGCGCTCCACCAAACTGCAGTTAAAGCATTATCATCATTTTAGAACTCTGGATGGACTCTAGAGAGTAATTTATATACAAATTTCCTCTTATAGGAAAGCCATGCTTTAAAACTGTAGGGTTGTTCTGCCAGTAGATCTAGTTCAGCACAGTTAGTGAAGAAAGGACAAGCATCCTTTCTGAGAGCTGATGTAGACTCATGGTTAAGAAACTAATCAGGGAGTCTGGACGTTCCAGATTCATATTTCACCTCAACTATTGATTTTATTATGTTGTCGAAGGCTTTCACGGCTGGAGTTCATTAGTTGCTGTAGATTTCCCGGGTTGTCTGGCCGTGGTCTTGGCATTGTAGGACCTGACGTTTCGCCAGCAGCTGTGACTGGCATCCTCAGAGATATAACACAGAAAGATGGAGTACTCTCTGTGTCAAAGTGAGAAGAAAGATGGTAGGCAGGTAAATTATATCTACTCAGGAAGGTGGGGTAGGAGTTCCTCATGCTGTGATATGCTAATGAGGAGGTTCTTTTGCATACGGATTGGCTGTTGAAATTCTAATCTTATCTTTAGTGCTGTTGTAAGATGTAGAGCATTTTGTGTTTTTCAGGACTGGAAACCATTGCCCTATTTCTTTTTAAAATCTCTTCTTTCCTGTTGAAATTGTGTTTATGTTTATTAATTTCAGTGGCTTCCCTGTGTAATCTGACATGGTAATTGGATGTGTTGTCCAGCCTTTCAGTCTCTTGGAATAAGATACAGTGTCCTGTTTGAGTTAGGCTATGTTCAGCCACTGCTGATTTTACCGGTTGGCCCAGTCTGCAGTGTTTTTCTGTGTTATACCTCAGAGGATGCCAGTCACAGCTGCTGGCGAAACATCAGGTACTGCAATGCCAAGACCACGGCCAGACAGCCCAGAAAATCTACAACTATTGATTTATTAGTGGGGTTAAGGCAAGCCAGCATTTCTCAGCTAGCTATTGTTCACTGTTTGTTCTTTTAATGACAACTTGATCTTACAGCATTTTCCGGTCAAGGCTACATATAATATATTGTATCCTTATGGTTAGGCCTTCTACTTTTGTGAGCAACTGGGCTGAAGTTTGGGTAACTGTACTTTGAAAGAAAGGTAACCAGAGCTTGGAAATGTCTCGATGTGTTCCCTGTTACAAGGACTGTGAGACCCAGAGGTGTCAGGGATCTGAGAGACCCAGGTTCCAGCCCCCACTCTGCCACTGAAGCCAGTCACACCCTCTCTTAAGAGCATCAGAAGACCCCTCCTGGATCAGACTAATGGTCCATCTCGTCCAGCATCCGGTCTCACACAGTGGTCTAACCCAACCTCTCAGCCTCACCTACCTCACCGGGCTCTTGTGAGGATAAAATGGAGGAGAGGGGAAAGATGCAAGTGTCAGGCTCATGCCTCGCTTGCCATGGGTTGTTTTCCACTGACACTACCGTTCTGTTACATCAAGGGTTAACTCCTTTCCTCCTCGCTGATCTTTCCCACTGCTTTCGTATATGCACATTCTTTGGGAGGGAGTGCGGATGTGAATCTTTGCTTCGCTGACCTAGGGCTTGTAGTGGTTGGCAGGGATAATTTCCTGCAGGAGCGCACAGGAGCGGAGCTCCGGCAGTAAAGAGCCAAGGAGGCGGGCACATGGAACAAGCCCCACCTCCTGCTTCCAGCAGCCCTCAGTCAGAGCAAGAAGCAGCCAGGTAAGTTGCAGAGCCCCCCCGCCGCCGCCCAAAACAGTCCAGTGGCACCTTTAAAGTTACAGGTACAAGCTCTCCCTCCTCTGTGAGGGCAGATCTGCACGTTCCCCCCCCCCCACAAATAGACCAACATCAACAGTCCAGTGGAGCCTGAGCGGTGGGTGTTGCCTTCTGACACACTTCCGGTGATGTCAGGGGGTGTGGCATATGCTAATGAGTTATGCTAATGAGCTCCTGCACCTCTTTTTCTATGAAATGACCCCTGGCAGTCGGCATGACCTTGCAGTATGGATAACATAACTGTTAGTTTGCAGGTGCTGGGGGCGGCCACGGGGTTGAGCTTGAAGCTTTGGCAGGCCATCTGGGAATGGATGATTGGGCACTTGGGGAACCAGGGGCAGTCCCACGCTCTGTATAGGTTTGGCCCTAGCCTGGCGCCGATAGTTCCAACACGAACTCTGTATATGCTTGGATGACCTGTAACTCTCAATAAACAAATCTTGCTATCTCAAGAGTGTTGCGAGAGTCCTCGGACCCAAGATCTGACAGTAAATAAAGACTCCTCATCTTTGCCTCTGAAAGTGCTGATGTTTCCATCCTTTGGAGAAAACATCAGGAGGTTTGCTGAAAGTCTGCTGCTGTTGCAACCAGTGTGGAAAACAGGTCGATTGTTGTCCATCAGAATCCTCTTAAGATCAGCATTGTCAGGCAAATACTTCCTTGTTTTGTATTCCAGAGTAGATGTTCATAGGAACATGTCTAAATTAACAGAAACTATACTTGCAAAGAGTATTTTAGATACTGTATCCAGTACTTAACAGTAGAAAATGTATGAAAATGTACAAAAAACTGTTTCTAGTGTTCAAGAGTTCGTAGAGTTTAGTAAGTACCCAAGTTTTAGAGAGGCAGTTCCTGACTGTGCATTGATTCTTGTGTGCCTGCTTCTCTGGTAGGACGTTTCCGAACTGAGGAATGAGCTACAGAGGAAAGAAGCACTGATTCAGAAGCACTTGGGGAAGCTGCGACACTGGCATCAAGTTCTCGAAGACCTCAATGTGCAGCATAAAAAGCCGGCTGAAATGCCTCAAGGACCTTTGGCTTACCTAGAGCAAGCGTCGGCAAATATCCCAGCACCTCTTAAGCAGACATGAACAAGAAAGCTCATTCTACTTTTGGAACACCATTTCTACTTTTTAGACCAAGTGATGTGGAACTTTTAAAAACCTTGTACAGTTTGTATGGTATAACTATTTTTTTAAAAACTTTCAGCATTATTGCTAAGGTTGAAAATGCAATTTGTCATCTAGGGAGCGGGCTTCTTTTTGTGTGTATTCTATCTGGGAGGGGGGGGGAAATGAAACTGCAACTTGGCGTGTAGACTGAAAACACGGTTGTTGGGGGTATTAAAATGCTTTCTGCTAAATAGTAATTGGAAGAACAGCAGCAAGCTTCCTTCTTAAATATTGCATGGGTGCCCTGGGAAACAGTAGTAAAAAGAAAGACTCAGCCACTGAAGGGATTGCTTCGTGCCTTGCTTTTCTGGCTGAAGTCATGTCCTTTGGTTCCTAAACCTGAACCGCCTTCCTTCAGTGGAAGTCTCTGCAAGCCAAGAGTTACTTGTTGAATATTTTGAATTGATGGAGTGGAGAATAAAATCACACGTAACAAACAGAAATAAAAACTGGCTGTCTTCACTTTCACATCATCGCCACGGGGTCTCTTGGAGAAACCCATTTTATTTTGCTTAGAAAACTGGCTTTGTTTCGACTGCAGCCGGTCGGATCTAATGAATCATAAATGGACACAAAGTTCACAGAATGGCTATCTCTTCCGTCTTCCCTGAAGAGTTGCTCCTGAGAGTCAGGTGACCTTTGCAAACAGAGTGGTCGGGGGCTTGTGGCTTAAAGAGAATAAATAGTAATCATTCCTTGTGCATAAGTTCTTTTGTAAATGGGACAAGGGGTTATTCATTATTTATGAGGTTCAATCTCTGTCCCACCCTTCCCGCGAACGGGCTCAGGGTGGGCTACAAACAGGTTCTCCCCAGTATGTGTCGGGATTTTTGCGACTTCTCATTTCTTGCAGCAGCTCTTGCACCCCAGTCTGATCCCAAGGATCCTTCCCTTCAGTACACCGATGCAGTGTGAAAGCACGTCTGTAAGTCTGAGGATGGGCGGGACTTTGGATCTGCATTTCTCCGGCAGCAACCCTGCCTCAAGGGAAGCTGGTTTTGAATGATGCACAGTATGATGCAGTGATCGAGGGTCAAGCAGGGGGGAACACTTCAGCTATTCAAAGTCAGAATTCCCTACCCTCTCTGTATGAGAAGTCCCACATCTCTCTAAACGACTGTATGGATCACAGCCATAAACTGAGGTCTCTGGAGCCAGACGGCAGGGTATAAAATCTAAAACAAAATTAATAAGTAGCACTGTAGCACTATGTGAATGTATACCAAGGGGAGAGGGTGCTGGACTGTAAAAACACGAGAGGCAGTTGAAATAAAGCAGTTGTTGTTTTAAGAATCACCTTGGAACATCAGAGGCAGTTATGTGGGTCCCCAGTACTGAGACGGAGCAAATGCTTTGCCTGCAGATGGTCCTATTTTCAGTCCCTGGCATCGCCACTTGAAAAGGGCTTTCCACACCGGGCCGTTCAGCATCCAGCCCTGGAGAGCAGGTCCCAGTCACAGCCGGGCACTAGTTCCTGATGTGGCAGTGTGTCCAGGGGCTTCCTGGCACCCATTGACTTCTCCCAGAGCAAGTAGCCACTCCTGGGACTGCTCCACCTCTCTGGACCAGGAGGCCCTTCAAGACTCCTGGAGGCATCACTGTACACCTCTGCAGTGTTCCCTATACGCTGAGTCAGTGCGAGCCAGCTCACAGTTTTTTGGCCTCCGGCTCTCACATTTTTGTCCTAGCTCAGGAAGGAGGGCTCCAGAGCAAACTAATGTATGCAGTAGCCAAATCGCTCGCTCACAACTTTAAGGCCAGGAGCTCACAAAGTAGGGTTTTTGCTCATGAGACTCCACAGCTTAGAGGGAGCATTGCTCCTCTGTGGGGAGCCTGCATCCAGAAGGACGTTCCTTTTGCATAGAAAGATGCCTGGCTTCCCAGCATTACGTGACTGGGTCAGTTTCTCTCAAACTTCCTAAAGTTGCCAGCGTCTCAACAAGATTAGGGGGCTCTGCGGCAGACGGCACTGGGCCCAACAGACCCCTGAACTGACTCAGTACGCAGAAGCACTGCATGGCCTTTGGCCTGTTGTGAACGGAACAGACACAAGCTGTAACTTCAGAATTACTTCTGGGTAGCTGTAACTTTATTTTATAAGTGGATTTAATCATGTAGGCCTCTCTAAGGGTGGGTGGTGATTCCTGAAAGAAGCGCCACGCTCACCGAGACCCTTTTAAAAACGTCGTACGTAAATTAATAGCTCTTCCGCAGGGGTCCCCGACATGGTGTCCCCAACACCTTCCCTGGTGCCTGCCGAGGGTTTTGAAGGAATGGGAGGAGCCCCCTGGGGCTCCTGGCAGCAAGGCCTCTGGCTGACCCCTGGAGATGGCTTTGGCAGCAGCTGCCCCCACAGTACAAGGATCTTCACTGTGTGCCAGGAGGTCATCCGTGGCAGCCGTTTCCTATTTCTATTTGGCCTCGCCTCCTGCAGCAGCCATTTTGTGGCTGCCGCCACTTCACTATGTCAGAATTCCAAAAGGCTCAAAAAGAAGAAGAGAAGAGATTGGATTTATATCCCACCCTTCACTTGGCGTCTCAGAGGGGTTTAGAAGAAGAAGAGATTGGATTTATACCCTGCCCTTCACTACCCAAAGGTGTTTCAGAGCGGCTTAGAAACTCCTTTCCCTTCCCCTCCCCACAACAGATACCCTGGGAAGTAGGTGGGGCTGAGAGAACTCTGACAGAAACGGCTCTTTTTCACAGTTTTTTGGCCCCCATTTTTGTCTTCGCTCAGGAAGGAGGGCTCCAGGGCAGACCAATTCATGCAGTAGCCAAATCGCTCGCTCACAACTTTAATGCCAGCACCTTTAATGCCAGTAGAATTTTTGCTCACAAGACTCCACAGCTTAGAGGGAGCATTGCTTGTGAGGGAGGCGGGGCTGAGAGTGCTCTCTCGAGGACTTCACGAGAGAACAGCTCTTATCAGAACTATGGTGTGCCCAAGGTCATCCAGCAGGTGCAAGTGGAGGAGTGGGGAATCAAACCCGGTTCTCCCAGATTAGAGTCCGCGCACTTAACCACGACACCAAACTGGCAAAAGGTTGGGGGCCTCTTAGCTACTGCATTTGTGTGACCAAAAGAGACAGGATTTCTGTTTCTTAAGTGAGAATCAGCTTTCCCCCAGCATCATGTCAATATGTTAGCAGGCTCTGTATAATGCCTTTGTTCTCACGGGATCTCTTTTGGCTTTGTGACATTCCTGCTGTTTTAAGATGTAGTAAGTAGTTTTGAAAATACAGACACTGATGTGTATAATCAATGGCAGGTTATAAATATTCATATCGTGCATTTGGCAATAAATACAAATAAATATCACACTTTTATAGCATCCATTTCTGAACCAGCCGACCACACATGATCCCAGCTTCTGTACAATATAAATCTTTTAAAACAACTGTTTACATAATACAGCAAATGGAAGTTGTATGAAAAACTATAAAGAATTTTGAAAAGGAACTGAATTGAAGAATGAACAGGGAAAGTATAAAGCTCTCTAGTTATTGGTGAACTTTTCCTTTGCACATAATCCTACAGGTATCGCCTATTTGTATATTTCTAAAATACTGGTAATTCATAGTATCTAGACCTGGTGAGTACCAGGAGAATGTATTTGGGGGGGGGGGTCAATGTCAGTTTCACAACGTGGCAGAGGAATGGCACCCCCCCCC